AAGCGTGAGCTGGCTAAGTTTTGTGGTTTTGCGCAGAGTGTCAAGTTGGCCCTTACCCCAGCGCCTTTATTTCTCCGCAATTTTTACGACGACATTAAGCAACCTGTTGGCTGGTCCGGTCGAGTTCGCTTGTCCCGTGGGTCGTTACGTGACTTAGATTGGTGGGCGGACATCCCTACCCACCACTGCTCGGCGGCTATTCACCAGGGGCCTGCTGCAGTTGAGCTTTCAGTGGATGCATCGCGCCATTCGTGGGGCGCGGTCCTGCATGGTCGTGTGGCGCGCGGTTATTGGTCGGCACCAGAGCTCTACGAGCACATAAATTGGAAGGAGTTGCGCGCTGTCCGTCATGCTTTAGAGTCCTTCCTCCCGTTCGTTCAGCAGCGTGTTGTGTTAATTAGGGAGGACAACACGTGCACGCAAGCAGTGCTAGGGCGTCTTTCTTCGCGCTCGGCAGCTCTGCATGCCGAACTAAAATTATTATGGGAATTCATGCAGAAGCATAGTATTGTTCTGCAAGTCGAGCGTGTGGCTAGTGCTGACAACGAGGCAGATGAAGCCTCGCGTTGGGTAGACCGTGATGATTACCGCTTGCATCCCCGGTTTTTCCGCCTTTTGGAGCACCGCTTCGGTCCGCACCATGTCGACTTGTTTGCCACGCATATTAACACGCACCTCCCGGTTTTCTTTTCTCGCCACCATGTAACAGAAAATGGCATTTACCTATGGAGCAACAACTAATGTACGGGCTAATTTCAGCGCAAGCATTCAGGTTGTAGGCCGCAGTCACCCAGGTAAAGTCATAGAAGAAGCTGTTGCGGTTAGGATTTTCATTAGCATCACGTAAGAAACGTCCCCCAACCCGAAGCATCTCCTTATAACGGGCGCGTGCCCGAGATCACGTCAAAAACGTCACCCACTCATGACGACTCCGAAGCTGCCATCTTTAGTAAGTGGCAGCTATCAGTCCACTATAATCTTAGAGCTGAGTGTCGTCCGATTATGCTTGTTGTACACGTCCTTTGCTGCTGTAATGCATGTGCCAAAAGATCAAAAGAATGCACGGTTTTAACCCGGCCCGCTCATGGCCTAATCACAAGGCAGCGTCGATAAGCACATTGTAGCTTCTACATTGCTGAGCTGGTGTTTGTATGGTGGTAAAAGGTTTCCTAACCACCCTGGGAATATCCCCCATCCTAGTCACCCTGACGAATTCGGTCATCACGCGCTTCTAGCGTAGATCATGAAAAGGGTTTGCAGGAGGGTATCTCAGACAATTCCTCGTTCGGACAGTTCCTCGTTCCCGTGCAGAGTCCTCTGAGACCTGACGCTGAGGTTCATTAATCACCTTTACATGACGCTATCTGCAATCTTTTTCTGAGTAATGTGCGAATTTTAGTGATATGATGAAGATGGATGCTTTCCTTGATTAGGGTTGCAGAACTAAGCGCAAGCAGTAGCAATTGCTGAGGCGGCTTGCAGGTTAGACGCCCTAGATTGCCTTGGCTTTTCCCAAATCCTGCGTCTATGCTTCCTATAATTTTAACACGCAAGACGACATGTACTTTAAGGACCACGAGGTGCGAAGCCTTCGCAGCGAAGGAAACTGATGTCGTTCGGCTGGTGAAGAGGGTGCATTTCTGCTTGAATAGAAATGCATGGCTTTTATTATGCCCCAATTTATTTCGCTGTTCACTCTTCAACGCCAGTGTACGTCGTGTGGCCAAGAGGACCAATGTTTACCATGAAGTGCTCAAGAGGAGCCCAAACGTTTATGATTTTCGATGTGAAGGCTGATCATAACATAAGTATATGTTAGTGTAGCTGTGGTGGACACTCCGAGGTGGTTGCCTCTTGTACGCCATTCTAAGCGCCATGATGCTCGCGGCTAATCAACCAGGGCATTAATAACTCTAAATGCAAGTAATTAGTTAATTTCACCTGAAAAACAACTTCAGCTGACCAAGAGTGAACTCACAATTTCGGCATAAAATTGGAGTGAAACCGATCTACTGGTCCAAAGAAGCCCTGTTAAGAATGGCTCCTGTGAGCATCGTTGAGATAATGTTGCCATTCTCGCTCCGGTTTCTTACTTGCCTCTTACCGGCCCATGTGCCATCGCTCTTTTACGCAGCCACGAGGGCCGCTGAGGAGATACTACACTCCATATGAGGTCCGAGAAATACTCATCTAGGTGCTTTCAAACCTTCAAGCAGGGGCCCTTATACCCACGCCTCTCGTTGCAGGTGGCGATGCACAATACGCCCGATGACCTCTGGGTATCATTTCTCGGTGGCGTGTACAACATAACTGACCTTGTGGAGGTGGGTTGCAATCAACCTGTGAACCAAATGCTTAGCCGCCAGAAGCGTGAGAGGGGGGGCTTGGGGTTGCTGCTCCCGGCGCAGGCGCGCGCGGGCAGCCGGGGCCCCTGCACAACGCCTATTTTCAGGCTCAATAACATGAGAACCCCTCCTGACCACTACAAGACGGAGCGGTGTGTTGCAGCCTCATGAGCGGGGTGGAATGCCCTTGCGATAGTGCCGACCTCTGGTCCACAGCTGGCCAAAAAAGGGAGGGGAAATGAAGGAAGCAGCGTCTCGGTGTGCTGCCAAACCACCACCACACCCGCCTTCCGCTCCGCCAATCCCCCCCTCTGCAGCACAAACGAACCTCGCCGCCCCGTGTCTTGGCTCCACCACTAGGTGCACACAATGATTAGGATGATACCATGAGACAGGGCCAGTCGTTCTGACCCGCGGGCTGGTGGCGACACTGGGGATGGTGGGTCCATCGCACCTGAAACCGCCTCAGAGCCAACCTCCCGCTCCTGGGCGTCCGCGCCCCCCCGCAGCCGGCACAGCGCGACAGCCCCGGCATTGTTCTCAACACCTGACAAACACAACCCATGACGCCCCATCATCAATATCAGCTTGTGAAAATGATGTGATTACCCCCATGTTCGAGCGCACGATTGCCGTATGATCCACACTAAACATACAACGACTTCCCCCACGCAACTGGGCCCCTCCACCCCACCCCCTCCGGCCCTGTGACCCCCATCTCAATGTTCCCCCTTTCCTCCCCTTACTCCCCCGCCCCCTCCCCTACCTTCCCCTCCCCTACCCTACCCTACCTCCCCGCGCACAGGACCATCAAGGGACCCTAGCAGCGCCCCTCATAGCAGCGGCAGGTCAAGACATATCCCACTGGTGAGGGCGGACATACATACATACATACATACATATACAGCACATATGCATACGCACCCGCCGTTACGAGGCGGCGTAGGGGGCGGAGCAGGGAACCCAGACGGGGGCCGCAGGCGGGAGGTCGGAGGCGGGGCGATGGGTTTCCGAGGGGGGCCAGGGACTGTCCCGTCATAGACACCAGAGTCGTACACACCACCGGATATTCGGCCGCTCTTGTGGTACAGAGGCGGCGCCGCAGTAGCAGCAGCAGAGGCAGTAGCAGCAGGAGCGGCAGCACGCGGCAGTAGCATTATTGTATATTCGGTCGCAGTCAGCGGGGGTAGGGGCAGCAGCGGGGAGGCGGCGGGAGGCTCTGCTCTGGGGGCCCCAGTGGGTTTGTCAGACAGGCTGGGGCCCCCAGAGCCCCGGAGCGGAAGGAGGGAGCCCCAAGGGTGTGTGTGACTCACGCCCCCTCCACCTCGCGGGTTGGGGGGAGGGGGCGGCAAGGGGAGCTCCAGTTCCCCGGACGCTGTGGAGCCTGTCGATGGGCACGGGAGTACGGCACCGGCAGTAGCAGCAGCAAGGAAAACCTCGGGGCGGGCAGCAGTAGCAACAGCGACAGGAGAGAGGCGGCGGAGGCCTCACGGGGGCCCCCGGGGCCCCACCTTCGCCCCCTCCACATCCCGGGGTCACGACCTGTTGCCGCTCGGTGGTTCGTGCCTAGCTCGGCTGAGCGCGGAGGGGCAGGGAGGGGCCCCGCAAAAAGCGATGGTCAGCCCCGGGTCCAGGTATTTCCTCCTTCGGCCCTGGCCCCCTGAGCCACATCCTCCCCACCCGAGCCCTAGTCCCAAGGGGGCTAACCCTCCGGCCCCACTGCGTCCCCCGGAGGGCCCCCCCCGCCCCTGCCAGGGCGCCGCTTCTCCTGCCCCGTGCCGGTTTGCTTCTCCCAGTGGGGCCCATGCTGGGGTGTGTGGTGGGGGCCAGTAGGGCGTGCAGGCCGCGAGGGAGGGTAGTGGGGTGGTGGGTCGCGGGTGAAGTGCTCTCCCCCCTCCTCTCCGTCCCCGCGGCAGGTTTGACCCCGGCACGGGGGACCCCAAGCGCCATGTGTGTCCCGAGACCCACCTGGAGCGGTACTACACACCGACGGTGGGTGCAACGACCTGTGGCCTGGGGGGGGTGCAGGCCGGGGTTGTGTGCGGATGCGCGGTGGTCGGCTGGCAGTGGCAACGTCCGGGGTCGGGGCCGCAACGGAGCGGTGCACCCTCGCCACCGTGATCGCCAGTATCCAAGAAGGGGGAAGAGGCCGACTGGGTCGGGTCAGGCAGCGAGGGTTAGCTCATCTCCTCCTCCCCCCTAACCCCCCTTCAACCCCCTACCCACCCACCCTCAACCCCCTACCCACCCACCCTTCAACCCCCCTACCCACCCCCCTTTCAACCCCCTACCCACCCCACCCTCAAACCCCCTACCCACCCCACCCCACCCTTCCGGGTGGTCTTCAGGGTCGCTTCATCCACGTCCCCCCACCTGAGCCCATGTCCAACTGGGACACCAGCTTCGGACAGCCCTGGTGGCGGAACTCCAAGAAGTACCAGGTGCGGCAGGGGGGGCGGGAGGGGCGGGAGGGGCAGGAGGGGCAGGTGGCACCGGCTCATGTGCCGCCCCTGCCGGGTTGTGGACCCCGGCCGAGGCCGGTGGTACCCTCCGGTGACCCCCTCTTAAACCCCAACATGTCCCGGCGGTGCGGGCCACCAGGATCGCGCTGCCGCCGCCGCCGCTACCATGTTGTCCCCGCCGCTGGGTGCACCCCCTGGCTATAAGTCGTCCTGCCTGCCACGACCTCCGGGCTCACCACCTGGCCCCGCCCTAGCCGGGCACACGCTGCACCCCGCCACCATAGGTCCCCCCCTTCCCTTCCGCTTCCCCCGGTCCCCCAACCCATGCCAGGTACACTCTTACCCTGGCAGCAGCTTCATTCGTTTGTGGTTCGTCTTTTCCCCCTTCACGCCCCTCATAACCCCTTTGCGGGGCCCCCCGTGTTCAGATCGGCTTCCTGTCCGCCCGCACTCGGGTGATCCGGATCCGGAATGTGCTGACGGACCAGGAGGACCAAATCGAGGTGCCGTGTGAGGAGAAGCTGGTGGAGATCAGGTGGGGGGCTGGAGGGGGCGGTGGGGGGAGCGGGCAGCCCGGGGCGCAGCTGATGGCGGGTCGGGGTTGAGACGGGCGGATGGAGTCTTTGTGCTGCTGTGCTGCTGCTGCTGCTGCGAGTGGCTGTCCTGTTCTGAGTTGTTGCAAGACGCGTGAGGTGGCCATTCGCAGTGTGCGAGGGACGCGAGTGTGCGGGTGGGGGGGGACATGGAGATGTACCGGAAGGCCGGCCTGCGTGCGTGTGTTGCGGGGGGGGAAGAGAAGTATCGTAGGGAGCAGCTTTGGAACCCCACACCTGGTACGAGTACCGGAGATGTAGACGCGCATTTCCTGTCTGAGGGCCGCCAGCAGGCGCTGCTCTGCGCATCTGCGTGATCTTTGCGGCCGCGTAAGACGTAAGACTGGTGTGGCCCCGGCCGTGTGCGCGGTTTTTTTTTCTCCAGGGAGCGGTACCTGGAGCTAAACGCCCACGCCAAGAGCTACACGTGGAAGGCCCTCATTCGGGACAAGGCAACCGGGGCACACGGCTTTCAGGTATGTGGAGGATTGGGGGTGGGGACCAGGTGAGGGTGGGATCCCTTTCGCCTGTTTGCCAAGCACGCAAGCAGGGCAGCAGGGCAGCCACGAGGAGGCGACGCAAAAATCCCCGCGGGTGGGCGGGTCGGTTGAACCTGTCTGCCTTTTCCTGACACGGCCGACCAACCAAACCACATCCGACAACTGTCTGCGCTATGTTTGGACCTATCGTCCTCTCAACCGCCAGGCCGCCAGGACGTCTCACTCCACCCCCACTCCTCCACTTCGCAATGAACTTGTCTTTTTGCCCTCTCCTGAAATTTGTATTCCCTCTTTCCCCCCCCTCGTTCTCGCCCTCCTGCCCGTTTCCTGTCAGGAGCTGGATTTGAACCTGACGCTGGAGGAGAACGGTATGCCGAACGAGACCCCCACCTTCGAGGACCACCATGTGCCCACCGACTACTACATCCCCGTACTCCATGTGTACTGGAATGACGACCTCACAGTGGCGTGAGCCCCGACGACTACCACGACTCCACCACGACAACGGCAACAACTACACCGCCACCGCCAGATATTTGGCAGACTGTCCTCTTATACCGGGGCAGCTGCATGGACGGGAGGAAGAGAGGAAGGAGGAGCTAGGTAGCGGCGGAGGGAGGAGGCGCAGGCCACTAGGGAGGATGGTAGGATGGTGCTTATAGGCGGTCTGGCAGCCCTTGAGCCCTCGGCTCGTATTAGGGTGGTTTGCAGGTACGGGGAACGCACCCACGACCATGTAACAACAACAAACAAACAAAACTAGGGGTGGGTCGGCAAAGACATTACAAAGGAAAAATTTCTGTCCCGAAGGTCACCCGAAGGGCGGTCTGGATCGGGGCTGGCAGGCGGGGCAGGTAGATGGCTGGCGGGCACCAGGGCCCTCGGGTGGGTGCTGAATGTTGCGGCGAATGAGGAGCCCGCCGCGTGTAGATCAGGGGTAGCGGCGCGTGTTTGGACGGGACTTGCTGCGGACTGCGTTCTAACAGACCGACTGAGCGTCCGCGGGTAGAAGGGCGCGGAGTGCAGCGGCCTACGGGACCTGGTACGGGTGTGCTGGTGGCGGTGGCCCCGTCAGGGCTGTAGTGGCTGTTGCCCGGTGAGCGGCACTGTCCACCTGCTGTGTGGGATTGCTAGGTAGAGCTCTGATGGGGAGCACTGGCTAAGAGGAGAGGGGAGGGGAGGCCAGCCCGCGTTGGGTCGGTCTGTAAGGATAAGCTGTCTGCTGTAACTGCGTGAGGGCGTGTGGCCCTAGGCAGCTGACCGGACCCTGCCACGCATACCGCTGCTCTTGTCGCCCCGTTTAAGCCTTAAGGAAGCCCACCAGTAAGAGGGTGTGTGGTGGTGTGGAGCGGGGGAGGTAGTGCGGGTGTAGTCTTCCCCTGCGGACGACGAGCATGTTGGGGTCTGTGACCTTTCGCTGCTGTGATGATGATGATGATGATCATGATCATGATCATGATACTGATGGAGGATACAGAGTGATGGAGTGATACAGAGGTTGGCTGCACCGCCAGGCTGGTAGGGCTCAGGCAGGGGCCCGGAAGCGGCCTTAACAGTTGGTTGTAAACAGTGACAGCTGTGATTGAGATCCAGCTAGGCAGGAGAGGGCTGAGCTGGGCACTGTTGAACGCTAGGGGAAGGGGGGAAAGAGGTAAAGGGGGAGGGGGAAAGGCGGTCCAACGCGACTTGCGCTGCAGGGTCCCGACATTCGGCTTGCTATGGGTGCCAACCTGACCGCATGCGCCTGTGTACCTTGTTGCATCTGGCTGCCCGCGGAGAGGAGGCGGGGGCCTATAGGGCCTCTGAAACTGAACTGCGGGTTGTTGTTATTGCGGACAGCAGCAGCAATAGCACAGCAAAGGAGGACCAGCGCACGGCATTTCAGAAAATAGTACCTGGCCGGGATGACATCTTGCTGACGAACTTGGCCCGAGGCATACAGCGAGAAGGCCTGGGACCTGGGACCGGGGCGCGTCGACAGTGAACGATTTTACGTCTATATTAGGGGGAAGAGGGCGTCGAGGCAAGGGACTCTCTTCCAGCCCCTCGTGACCTAACAGGGTGGGCCTAACAGAAAGCAAGGGATGCTGCATTATTTATCTTTAGCCGCACCCTGTCCGGGATGAGGCCTGGCTGCTCAGAGGCTCAGGCCACTTGTTTCATGTGCTCGCCGTAGGGCTGTAACCTCAGATAAAGAGTACTCAGCGCCAAAAGGGGAACAGATGCCGAAATCTTGCAGAGGCAGCCAGCTAGCGCGACAGTGGACCGCTGCAGCTCGTGATCGCGCATTACCAGCAGCGCGGTGTGAATGGCGGCTGGTTTCATCTGGGCGGTTGGGGGTGGGACGCGTAGGGAAGGACGGTGAGGGTCGGGACCGCACATCTGCATCTGTAGTGATGAGCACTCTCAGACGCTTTCGAACGCAGGCATGTACGACATGTACACAAGCAGATCCGAAGGTAGATCTGATGAAGGTCTTCGGACCTCACTTATCAGCCCAACGGGCGACTGCCAACTGGACTGCCCCGCGGCGTAACGCCCCAGGTATCTGCAGTTGGTCGGTGGTAGCCAGGAGGCAGACACGTGCAGATCGATTTGTCTGCAATGCATCTCCCTCACCAATCGGATCCGTCTCCGTCCCCAGGATGAACTCTCTTCAGCAGCCAACTAGCACCACCTCACGAGCATACATACATACAATATATCATATATCAACTTGCGAGCTGACCAGGAACTAAGTTGAGGCGCTGCTGATCCGCTAGATTTGGTTGGATGCTTGTGGTGAGTTGCCGAACCCAACGAATACATTCTGCATCGGATGGGGTGACGGATTAGGGTGCCCCTCTAGCAGGGGAGAGCAGGGAGCTGCCTCGGGAAAGGGGGCCGCTGGTGAAGCTATACCACCCTGTAACATCATACATGCAAGTTGGCAAATGATGCCTGAGGGCCAGCGGGCAGGAGGCAGGAACGAGCTGCGAGCCAAGAGCCGCAGCAGCAGGAGAAAGCTCAACAGGGGCAGGCGCGGGGCCCCAGGCAGAGGGGGATAACGGACGTTTTCACCCCAGGCCGGCGGGGCGGGACCACAGGCGGGGCCTGCGCTGAACGCGCCGGGGGATGGGGACCAAACACAGGAGCGGAACACGGCGACAGGTGTGGTTGGTGGCAGCAGCGGCAGCCAAGGCGGTAGCTGCACCGATAGCAACCCCCTTGGAGCGGGCCCGCGCCCGGGCAGTGGTGGACTTCTGGGCGCGTTTTGCTCTCTTGCTTTCGTGGCGCTGGCGCTCCCTCAGAGGCGACCACCCGATCCTTTCGGTTTCAGGAGAGGTGTAATGAGGCGGTGGATGAGGCGGTGGATGAGGCGGTGGATGAGGCGGTGGATGAGGCGGTGGATGAGGCGGTGGATGAGGCGGTGGATGAGGCGGTGAGTGAGGCGGTGGATGAGGCGGTGGATGAGGCGGTGGATGAGGCGGTGGATGAGGCGGTGGATGAGGCGGTGGATGAGGCGGTGGATGAGGCGGTGGATGAGGCGGTGGATGAGGCGGTGGATGAGGCGGTGGATGAGGCGGTGGATGAGGCGGTGGATGAGGCGGTGGAGTGAGGCGGTGAGTGAGGCGGTGGATGAGGCGGTGGATGAGGCGGTGGATGAGGCGGTGGATGAGGCGGTGGATGAGGCGGTGGATGAGGCGGTGGATGAGGCGGTGGATGAGGCGGTGGATGAGGCGGTGGATGAGGCGGTCGGAATAACAGCCTAAGCGAGTTTCGAGCGGATTTGGAAGGGCAGGGCACGTGCGGGGTGGAGGGGTTGAGGGGGCTGGGGGCGACTAAGGTGAAGGGAAGGCGTCTGTGCGGCCCAGAGAGTTCCTAAGGGCTGAAGGGTGGCGTGGGGGATGGAGGGTTAAGGGGATGGGTGGGAGGTAGCCCGGAGGTGGAGTCGAAGGGAGGTGGGGTTCGAGGGAGGGACTTCTCGTCGGTTTGGGGGAGGATAAAAGAAAGGGGAATGGTCGAGAGGGGCAGGGCTGGTAAATTTGGCGAGGGAGAGGTTGGAACTTAACCATTCAGGGCAGCTTGAGAGGGCTCTGGAGGGCCAGCCGTTCCAGTCTAGCTACGGAAAGGGGGCCAACCGCGCGGGTTACCTTCCTTCCCCTGCGGGCTTTTAGAGAACCTAGAGGCTGTGTGTCGTGGAAGAGTTTTCAAGTTCGCCGTTTCGCCTGTCTGTCCCTGGCCTTCGCGCTGTTACTCGGGCTGGGCTGGTACGTTTTCTCCTTCCTCTGGTTTGTTGCATCTCCCTTCAGCCCAGGGAGAGGTGGATGATGCCAGTAGTCTTAGGGTGGCTGCGAGGCGTCATGTGGTTTCTAGCTCTGTCCCTTCCTTTTTTGGAGGCGGTGGTGTGTGGGGCTTATGTGGGGGTTTGGGGATGTGGAGTGTGCGGGTGTGCGGTGTTTAGTGTCGTGTTCAAGAAGTCGCCCCAGCGAAGCCTGTTCAAACGCTGGCACTTGGTAAGTTTGTGACGCTAGATGATGCATTTGGCTACAGCTGCTGTGCGTCTTATTTTCGTGACGCCTTCGACGTTGTAATATAAAAAAGAGTAAATTGCAGTGATGCTATTGGCAGACGCAAGTCCCAACTGGGGTTATTCGTCGTTATTCGTTCGATTGGTGAAATCCTCAGAGTAGGGAAGCCGAACGAGTGCGCACCCTCAAGGCGTCGCCCGAAAGGGAGAATCTCCCGCTGTGGTGAACATGCTCAAAACGTGTTGTATGGCATGCAGCAAAACGTGTTGTATTGTGTGCAGCAAAACGTGTTGTATTGTGTGCAGCAAAACGTGTTGTATTGTGTGCAGCAAAACGTGTTGTATTGTGTGCAGCACTACTATCACCTCAGTCCCTTGATGATGATTGCAAGCCGACTGCTAGCCAAAAGAATTAGGCTTTGCCGAGGGCGTTGCAACGTGGGATTTTCAGAGACGCCTGGTAAATGTGGTATCGGAGGATATCCTTACGTGCACTTATATACTAGGACCGTTGTCTGTAGGTCGGATGTATTACTATGAGCGTCGAGCCTCGTGCAGTAGCATGGCTTGGGCTCGAGGGAAAGCAGTTAATGCTGTTGAAGAGCATGGCTGATTACAACTTTACCAAATCAAAAACGTTATCCTCATACCATACAAATGAATGAGGTAGGTTGCAGTACATGACACCGACCGACAAAGAAATTACCACCCTACACGCCTAGATTTACTCATGCCCATGTTAGTACCTAATTTGTTTTGACATATACCCCAGGAAATGATGCTGTACGCTAGGAGCGACGTATAAGGCGCGAAGGACTTTCCCAAAAGCTCGCTGGCCACGATAGGGAGCCAAAACCAAGCACCATAGCATATGAACTATATAACTTCATCGTTTCATTATATCACGTCACTTACATATCCCGTAACAAGCGTAACTGTACGTTTGCAAATGGTAACCAACTGCCAAGACCTACTGCGTAACATGTACTCATGTTAACTTAAATATAAGTTTAAGTCGTCTATTAAGTCTCATACCATTTATGGAGTATGTACTGCTGGCTGCGGGGTTCGGCAGTACTGTTCGCGATGCCTATGCAGTACATCTTGACTAAGCACCCATGCCCCTGCATGGGAGTCCTTGGTTGCACGCCAGATGACATAAATGCTGCACGGGAGCTTATTATTGTAAGTTATACCCAAGCAGGATAAGTTAGGCAAGAAGTCAAAAATTCGTGGGGCATACGACTGGTTTGTCATCTACAAGTACTGTCGCATTGTGACACTCCAATTTGATATCCCCGGTACCAGACAACATTAGAACAATAATTAAACACCGCTAGCTACGCTTCAGCGCTGCTACTTGTCCAGAAGGTTAGGCGTGGACAGTACAGGTTTTCAGGGAGCCAGGGGACAACTTCTGCTATGTGAAGCATCAGCAGCTTAGCAATCATTGATTCAACAATTTACTCGCTGGCAACGCGTGGCTTTGGGCTATCACCTATCCGCCCACAGCAAACTTGCCTTTGTCAGCCACCCAACGGCTCGCACATATACTTGCCATGGGACTCACAAAGGGCCTGAAGCAAATCGCTGCAGATATAGCACAACTACTGGGCAAGGACAAATTAACCCGTGGCAGCAAGCGGGAAAGCGCAGCGCAATCGGACTCGCGAAGTACAAAAGTTCGTAGCGCCCGCGAGACCGCTGGAGCACCTTGCCCAAGGCCTACTTCAATGCCTACATATTCAAGCCTGCTTCACATAAACGCCCCATCGCCCGGCTTTGAGATTTACCGGGAAGCGCTCTCAGATGATGGCACCCGTTTGGCTTGCAATACGAGCCGGCCATATTCTACTGGCCAAACTCAAGATTTCTCCTCCAACAGCCATGCTGCATTGCGAGGAGAGTCTAGAGCCTCGGGACGGACGCTGGTGGAATCAAAGGGCGCCTCCGCTCCGCCGACCACCAGGTCTGCCAGCCAGCCAGCTGTTCCCGCCACGAGCGCTGCCTGCTGCCCGAAGATCGCCAATATCGTCACCTTCTCGACGCGTGCCACAGCCGCGACTGTACAAAACTCAGTAGACAAGCCCTTTGGCATTCGACGGACAGCCGCCTCCGCATCGACCAGCTTCGTCGAACCCGCTCCCGTCAGCCAATCGACCGATGTTAACTGCAGCGCCGTGAACAGCGCTGCCTCCACGGCGGCTGTTGTGACGGCAACGGCTATTGGGGCTGCCGGCGCCACGCTGGGCACGATTCTGCTGCCAGTGCAGGGGACAGCAGCCGCCGATCCAGTGGCGACGGCGGAGGAGGCCAACCCTGCGGAGGCCACCCCACAGCCGCCGGGTTCCCCAGCGGCATCTGCCGCGAGTGCTGAAATTAGGCCAAACGAAGGCCGCCCAGGCGGCGCGGGAAAGACGGGTGAATCTGACGGCTGCACCGCTGAGGCCACCACCACCACCACCACCACCACTACCACCACCACACCCGCCATCGCGTGCGGGCGACCACTACCACCGTTCGGCCAGGTTTACGTATCACCAGCCATACCGGTCAAAATGCGGAGGAAACCCGACAGCTGGTCGGTGTACGAATTCGAGGTAAGTTTTGACGTACGGCAACGGACAGATAGGCAGAACGGATGAGCAGACGTACATACAGACAGACAATCCAGATTATTGGTCTGCGGAGTTCTGGCAGGGCAGGACGCGTTTCCGGCTCTGAGGTGCCCCTGCGGCCCCTGAGGAGCTGCCCGGCAGTTCAGCAGCGCTTGCTGGCACCCTGACGCGACTGCCGCTCCAACCGCCTCATGCATGCAGGTCAACCGAAGGATCCACAGGGGCTATTCAAGCAGCGTCTACAAGGTGTGTGGGTGTGCGGGTGTTGGGATGGCCCCCCAGAGGTTCCCGACCGGTCTCACGTCAGCGCAGTTACCTCGGGCCCCAGAGACGTTAGAGACCTGGCGGGTATCCCCTTATCCACCTGCCAGCCGAGGACCGACCGGCACCGCTAGAGCGCCAGCCAGTGCCCCACTGTTCCCCCGAGCGTCTCATGTTTAGTGTGGGGCTGGTCACGCTCCCTTTCCCTTTCCACATCCCTCATGCCCCTCTGTCTGCCCCTTAATCTGCCCCTGCCCCGTTCCTCTGCAGGCGCGCTGCCTGTACTCGGGAAATGATGTGGTGCTCAAGGCCTACAACCTGGCGGGTCTGTCCACATTCCTCCGAAACCAAGTGCTTAGGGAGCTGGACATACATTCACGACTGAGGCATCCGGGTGTCGTACATCTGTTGGCGGCGTTTCGGGTAAGGCGAGGTGGCCGAGCAGTGAAGGGCGAGAGGCGTGAGGGCTTGTGAAGCTGGACTGGGAACCCATGACACGTCCAGCTACCGTAGTCCCCCTTACCAACCCCTCCCCCCTTTCCCCCCTCCCGTGCCTCAGGAGGGTGAAACCCTGGTTCTGGTTCAGGAGTACATTCGGGGCGGTTCCCTGGAGCGTGTTCGTCGCAAGCTGGGTGGTCGCATGAGCGAGTTTCAGGCCATGCACCTGGTTCTGCTGCCGCTGCTGGGTGTGCTGAGCCACCTGCACGAACAGGGCATCGTGCACAGGGATATCAAGCCGGTGAGAGCAGGAACCCGCCGGGAGGGAGGGAGGGAGGGGGGAAGAGTTACGGGACCTGAACGTGACGGAAATATTACTACTATATAATATTATTGCTTCCTATTCCAAGCCTCCGCTTATGACCACCTTCCCGACCAAGTGCATCCACCATGTTAACCACTACCTCCAGGACAACCTGCTATTCACGGATAACTGGAAGCTCAAGTTGTGCGATTTCGGCGTTTCCATCTGCCTGAGGGAGGAGAGGGCGGTGACGAGGACGGGCACCCGCGAGTACATGGCGCCGGTGGGTGGCCGGGATGGTTAGGTGCCTGTCACTGGTACGCCGTTATTCGCGCATGCATGCACATATGCACGTGCACGTCACCGCTACCTCCACCTTGTTTCCTCCTCCCCCATCCTGCTGCTGCTGCCCACCGACTGCTCCTCCCTCACCCCCGCACATCCGGCACAGCGCAGCACTGTGTGCACAAAGTCGTCTTGCAGGGCCATTAGGCTTCTCACGCTCCGCCGTCTCCTCCCTCCTTTAGCTTACCTCTATCCGGCTCGTTGGTCCCGCAGGAGGTGGATTGCTGCCCACAAAAGCGTCTTCCCGAAGACAACAAGGACAACCTGTCGTTGTCGTACACATCCGCCGTGGACGTGTGGTCCCTTGGTTCGCTGATGTACGAGCTGCTGGTCGGCTTCACGCCCTTCCCTGGAGGTCCTCCCCCGCGGCGGGAGGGCGCGCGGGGCTCGGCGGGGGCGGCGCTGGCCTTCCCGACCGGAGTCAGCCAGGCGGCCAGGGCGTTTGTGAGGGACTGCCTGCAGCTGGAACCGGAGGACAGACCCACGGTTCACAAGCTGCTGGAACACGCATGGGTAAAGGAAGCGCTGGTAAGTGGGCCATGCGGAGCATGAACGCGTGATGAATGCCTTTACGGCACAGAATGACGCAAGTGCTGACTGGAGTGTACTCATATGCGTGTGGGGGCTCCTACAGATCATTTTCGTCTGCCCCTTTCCCTTTCCTCACCTTCCTCACCTCCCTCACACACTGACTACCCCTTCTTATCCCTCAACTCCGCTCACCCGCCCTGGGCCCCGCAGGCTGCTGCGGAAGCTCTTTTGGCGCCCAAGTCACCTGGACAGTGTTCAATGCCGGTGGGAGGCTGCCCCTCGCCGGACCTGACGGGCGGCGGGAACATGACGACGTAGCGTGCACGACCACAGCACAGCCGGGATCGGTGCGTTTCCACAGCTAAGCAGCGTTAAAGGGTGCAGCAGCTGTGTACGCCGTTACACTCCGGCGGCCATAGTGAGGCAGATGTCTTAGTGATCTGCGCCGCGATGCGGGAAATGGCGATGGTGGTACACATCAACACCTTAGGTGGGGTGTCTGTGTGTGTGGTGCATGTTCGGTTCGGAGGAACACAAAGGAAGAGGCGATAACGGGGGAGGAAGAGTGCGACTGAAGTGAGCGGTTGCGTGAGTGAGTGAGTGAGTGTGGGCTGCTGGCAGTCTGCGGTAGTCAACTAATGGCAAAAACGCCCCGAGCAGCCTTGGAGCGATCAGGGGGGGTGACGCTACGTTAGGAGTCATGCCCAACAGTCCGGGCTTCGTTTAGGCTTGTGAGGATTCGCGCTATTGCTCAATTGGTTAAGGGTCAAGGAAAACTGTGAAACGCGTGCGTGGCTGTGGGCGCGGTTTGAATAGCTGGTACAGCACCGCCGTGTGCCCCCCCCTGACTTGGCGGGGTTTGGTGATGGGCTGTTGCCAGGTAAGTGAATGGTTGGGTTGGTTAGCTTATGATGGTTGTTGGCGCGCAATGTGTGGAATAATGTGATAAGACCTGAGCGCACCAAAAAGGCGCGCAATTGCTGTTGAGGGTGTGGGACCACATGTCGAGTGACAAGGGAGCAGGATGCTGGAGCGGTGCTGTGCTGTGCTTTGGTTGAGCGCGAGTGTGTGATGAAATGACGCACGACCTCAAGATGGCTGTGTATGCATGTATGTATGTGGAAGTACTCATTTTGATTCTGACTTATCATTGTTTGCGTTCGTATACACTTACGTGGGGCGCACACGCAGATGGAGCTTTTCGTCGCCAATTAGTGTCGAGAGACAACTGCGCATACAAGTAGATGAGGCTCAGTGGCTGCGCAAACCAAGCGCGCGGTGCCTTTGCCCATTAGCCTTTTGCACCATTCCATGCTCGATACGAACGGAATTTTGCGCGAGGCCGTTACGAAGCGATAGGCCCCAAATCTTTTTCCTGGCTTTGGGCGATGCCGGTTCTGCGCTGCGCGCACTGCGGTGGTGGTGGTGGTGGTGGTAAGGTGATAACAGCTCGTATAGGTGTGGCGTATGGCTGCAGCTGGTGCATCTGTGCTGCATTTGCACTTGTCAGTTGGTAGCGCCGGGTATTGCTGTCGAATTGTGCGGTATATATGCGTAATAAAATGCAGGCGGCGCCCGCTCCTGGCGGCTAGCCACAAAATAAAAGCCTTGCCGCGCTGAATAAGAACCTATTATAGAAAACTGAAGCATGGAACCGGTTTAAAACAATCATGGTGATAACCCGTAATGGCCGGTGAGCTCCGTCTACTGACCGCCCTGCAGGTGTCAATTTTGTTGCGGATGTTGTGTTGTGAAACCCTTTCTGTTTTTGGCTGCTGTGTGGTGAATGGGGCCACCATCAGCTTTTCAGTTCTGTCAAGTATCAAGCTTCGGGGCTTTATGCACTGTCTGCTCGGGTCCACGACGGGGCCACAGCTTTCGTCTTCGTGAGGTTTCAAAATGAGGCGTGGAGAGCAAGGTGGCAGATGTGCAGTGTGATCGGAAGAGCGGCTCGGCGAAGGTATGAAGCGGGCGAGAGCTCACCGGCTTCAAACCCGTCGCGACAGCTGCGGTTTCTATTTGATTTGAGCTCGTGATTGGCGAGGGTTGCTACCTATAGTCGTCAGTTTGGATCTTGCAACTGAAATAGAGTTTGAATAGGCTGTGGGCTGTGGAACGCCGCTGCTGCTGGTAGGCCCGCAATCGCGCAGTGGACGCAATCGCGCAGTACTCCTCCGCCAATGTGTGGGTCTGGGCCGACGCCGCGAGTCCGCGACTTTAAACCCAACCCTGGCCTATTACCAGAGCTGGGTTTATAGAGAGGCCGGACTCCGGGGTTACCGAGCTGCCAACGGACCGCCCATCGGGGCAACCTTGCAGCGCTGCTGGTCAAAGGTAGATGCCATTCCCTCCCCTTCCGGAGTTGGTGAGCAGCTCGCCGTTTATGCACATGCGGCATCACTGTGTGTTATTCGTAGACGATAGTCTTTTATTGTGGACATGAAAAGCCTGGCAGACACGCACAAACATGCGCCGTGGTTGTGGTGAAGGTTTCGCACTGTTGTCAGTTGTAGTTGTTATGTTGTTATAAATTGCGGTTGGGCAACAACTGACAACGGCGCTGCGATGGCCTGGAGGGCACGCACGCGAGGCGGCTGTCCGGCCATTAACCCGATAGGGCAACCTGGCGCATGCTTTGTGTGGCTTTTGATGGCCGGACCTAGATCCTACCGTGGGCTGACAGACTCCGAGTTTGGACTATTGCTGTTAAATCCGCCTTGTAATGACGGAGGGGGCCCAGGGTTTGCAAGGTCTTGCTGCCACAGGGTCCCAACCGGAAAAAATATGGGTGCCCTGCTTACAAGTTGAGGGACGCGGCATGGTCCTGGTCAAGAGGGAAGCTGGCGTCATGATAGCGGCTGCCAAGACCGTCGACGGGCTTAGCTCCTCTTTACGCAATTACGATTACCGAGCCGGATCGCCTCACGAAGATTGCAAGGCATCTACTGACAAGGTGCTCTGCTGTTAACAGTCAGTCACAACATCATACATAAAGCCAAGGCGCAATGACAGGTAAATGCTTGGCATCCATCACGCACGCGCACACACATTAGGTGGTGCCTTTTCGACCGGTATTGAAGGCGCACCTTACAAGGCGTCAGCCGCGGCGGCCGCCACCGGCTTCGGCTAACTGCCGACGAAAGTCAATCCAAAAGTCAAATGAGATCACGCCACTTACAGTACGGGGCTAGCGCGGATGCGCGCCGTGGGTACAGCTGTACATTCTCCTGTCTCACAAGAACGTTAGGTAAAAGCCACAGCCGGAACGTTTGAAGCATAAGAAGGTTAGGTAAAAGCCACAGCAGGAACGTTTGAAGCATAAGAAGGTTAGGTAAAAGCCACAGCAGGAACGTTTGATGTGCGGGAAAAAGCGCGCACATTTAACAAAGCTAATCAAATGCTCGTGGATAAGCGATGGACGAAAAAGCGCACGTAAAGAAGCGCTTGACGTTGGGTTTAATACAAGAGTGCATTATTTAAGATGGCCAGCGGGTGGCCCAGAATGGCCATGGTGGGATTCATCAACTTCATAGGCACCAGGAACAAAAAAGCCGAAGACCTGCTGGAAACGCTGACCTGCTAATCGTTTCCTTCCATTTACTGAAACGAAAAATATCATGTAAATGCGATCACCATGACGACATCACTGCCTGCGAAAAATGCAGGCGCACCGGTTCCCCGCACTGGGCGGGACCATTCGAGAGCACAAACAAAGACACGCGTGCGCACACATACAGGGAATGTTTCCCCCCTGTTTCGCTGCCCTTTTCGAGAAAACGCTTGCACATACAACGGGAGGAACCAGATCCCGTGTCTCTCGACAAGGAGCTTCACTTGCAGCCGCGGCGCAAAAAGAGATACCTACGGCAAGCCACAAAGCAACGAAACGTTACCATCCTCCATCCGGAACTTTCCAAAGCCATTTCCCGTGCACCAATACTCGAGTGATATGATGCTTAATGCGCCTCAGACGCAGCCTGCGGCAAAGTGACAACTGGCCGCACACAGTCGGGTCGCGCCTCCATAAACCTGCGTGCAACAAGCGCGCAGCTCGCACAGCAGAGTGGGCTGCGCAGTGATGGCAATGGCCAAACGGCGCTCAAGGCCCCCCTGCACAGCACTCGTGCACGCGGAGGTGCGGCACCAGGGCCGTTGTACATAACTCGGTGGCAAGATAGATAGACAGACAGACAGATAGACAGATAGATAGATATGTAGGTAGGCAATTTCAGGTAATTCCAAACCTGCCGTATACGATTAAGAGCACGGTTCGGATCCTCGGAAGGGCGCACTAGCTCCTAGGGGGATATAGCCGCTCACAAGACAGCGCCACCACCGAAGCTCCCTCACCGCCGGGCTACCCACAACGCCGTAGGCTCCCACGGTGACCTCAGCTCAGCTCAGCTCGGCTCAGCTTCCCCCGGTCCGGTCGGGGCCGTCCGCCACACAGGACACCGGGGTGCCGCAGCCAGGGCCGCCCCGTCCGCCACACACATGTACGACACCACGAGCACGCACAACGGGGGGTGGGGTCATCTGCTAGTGACTTAGGAGCTGTGGCCCCGACATATACGTACATACGTACGCAGACCGCTGTGGAGTGTGGCCGCAGCTGTTATCGATTGTGGTTATAACGGCGCCACGCACACGCTCCCACACGCCCCCCCCCCCACACACCCCCTGCAGGTAGCCACCCCTCCGGCGGCCCTGGCGGCCCTGAAGGCCTGGTGATGGTCACTCCCCAACGTCACTCGTCCACACAGGCAACAAACAGAGCGACATCCAGCGACTGTAACATTCCCCCCATCCTTCCGGCAGCCTTTCCGAATCCTTCAAGGTAACCTGCAGCCGCAGCGAACGGATCTTCGTTTCCATTAATGACATTCATGCACAAGCAAACATCCAGCACGAGGGGCGACCCCACGCACCCGACCAAGGCCACTTGCAGTGGCAGTGGTGGAGGTGGAGGTGAGTGCCCCGCAGAGGTGGGTTTGAAACCCGATATAGACTTCCCTGGAGAGGAAGAAGGTACGCGTTCACAGCGCGGCTTGTCCCGACGTAGCGCCCCAAACGCCCCCTCCAGCGCCCTCCTCGCATTCATAGGTTGCCAATACGGCCCAGCCTTGAAAGATTCGAGGAGTAAGCCAAAGATCCCAACCGCAATAAACCGTACTTCCCCATTAAACCATAAACTTTAAAGCAAGCCAATGGGGGACGAAGCGACCACAAGTTGCCGACGGACGATCTCAACAGCTCTCCTCACCAGGAAAGTCCTCCGGGCAGCCGGGCAGGGCCATTCACCACATGGATGGATGGATGGATGGATGGATGGCGGGCGGGCGGGCGGCCGCGCGGGCGGGTTCCTCCCGCCGAGCCGCTGCTTTGGCAGCAGCAGCTAGAGACTCCCCTCCATCTTCCCTCCTCAACTAACATGTGACTGAAGAGCAAAAGAGGGTGGATTCCAAACCCGTCCAGCTCCCCAAACCTCTCTTATGAGGGGGCCCAGCAGCCCCCGTTCAGAAAACCTCGCTCTACATCCCCGACAGGGTGACAGCCCCTCCCTGCCACGTCCGCTTGCCGTACTCATGTCGTACGTAAGGTGGGACCAGCTTGCTCCTGTATTTACATATGTACCTATGTATGTACGTATGCATGTATGCCCGATGCCACTGCGATAACCCCCTTTGCAGCTCCTTGCCGCCTCCCAGCAGCAATCTTCGTGCCTTCCTGCACTGTTCTGTGCCGTGCTGAACTGTACTGTACATGCTGTGCTATTTTGTGCAGCGCCGCACCAACAATTGATGGCAGCTGGTTGATGCAATATCTAGATGCACATGCACATCCCTCAGTAGCTGTAGAGGTCGCACATCCAGTACGTTTCCCAGTTGACAAATATCATGCAAGCTACTGCAAATGCCGCTAGACATGCACGCCATGGTCAAATATCAAATGCATCGCCTTCAGCCCCCTCTCACACCAGGAAGCACACGCGCCGGATGCCTCAGCCCCAACTGCTGCATCACGACGATGCTTCGACGACGGACCTGGCGACGTCCTTCTGCCTGACGGAATTCTTCAATGCTGCGATTAAATACAGACACGGCCTAACGGAGCTGCTGCTGCTGCTGCTCCTGCTGCTGTGACGGGGCCGACGACGGCTTCATCCAGCAGCGTCTCTGTGCGGCTAACCAACCGCCGCCCTCCGACACGCCTGCTACCTCCGAGAGGGCTCCCCGTACCCATGCGTGTTCCAGCAGCTTGTGAACCGTGGGTCTGTCCTCCGGTTCCAGCTGCAGGCAGTCCCTCACAAACGCCCTGGCCGCCTGGCTGACTCCGGTCGGGAATGCCAGCGCCGCCCCCGCCGAGCCCCGCGCGCCCTCCCGCCGCGGGGGAGGACCTCCAGGGAAGGGCGTGAAGCCGACCAGCAGCTCGTACATCAGCGAACCAAGGGACCACACGTCCACGGCGGATGTGTACGCCAACGACAGGTTGTCCTTGTTGTCTTCGGGAAGGTGTTTCAGCGGGCAGATGCTGACCTCCTACAGAACGTGGAGCAGACGGGAGTGGGTGATGGCGGTGATGACGGAGTTCAAGCGGGTCTGGGAGACAGGGGGCAAGAGAGGGGTTCAAATCGGCAACCGGTGCTAGCTCCGTTGGCTCCGTTGGCGCTGGCTGCCTTGCCCAGCTTGTCCAGCTACCCACAACTTTGAGCCAACCTTGTGGTAAAGGTAAAGATTCCATTGGCAACACAAGCAAGTTCTTTGCACCTTTTCGGACCCCTGCGCCCTGGCAGCGGGTCCCCTCCACCGCTATCGGTCGGGCCCCCCGTCCGGCCACCCACCGGCGCCATGTACTCGCGTGACCCCGTCCTCGTGACCGCCCTCTCCTCCCTCAGGCAGATGGACACTCCGAAGTCACACAACTTGAGCTGCCAGCTCTCCGTGAACAGCAGGTTCTCCTGGGGGGGTAGAGTTCAGGGCGAAAGGGAGCCGGCATGCTGATGTGGTCATCACCGCAGCTGCAGGACCCCCTTCCATCTCCCTATCGTATCCCCCTCGCCTCCTCTCCTCCCCGCTACCCCTGTAACGCCCCCACCTGTCCACTTCTCCCGTAACTCTTCCCCCCTCCCTCCCTCCCTCCCGGCGGGTTCCTGCTCTCACCGGCTTGATGTCCCTGTGCACGATGCCCTGTTCGTGCAGGTGGCTCAGCACACCCAGCAGCGGCAGCAGAACCAGGTGCATGGCCTGAAACTCGCTCATGCGACCGCCCAGCTTGCGACGAACACGACACGCAGAGCCCCCGCCAGCGTACTCGAGCACCATGACCAGTGTATCGCCCTCCTGCGGCGCGCCCCAGTCACAACACCGCAGGCAAAAGCCGTTGCAGCAGCCGGCGTACGGAAATCCGGTGTAAGGGGACAGCAGATGGTAGCAACCGCTCTTCTGACGCTCCGTGGTCCGTACATCTCCTTGATCATCACTCCCTAAGGATGCTTCGCCCCTTAGCGTGGATCGGGCCCCGTCCCCTTTCACACAGACAGACACCAGACCCGGCCAGCATGTTAGCGTTTAAATGGCTTCACATCACTCCTTGGGCCCTCTGCCTGACCTTGAATGCCGCAAGAAGCTTCACAACGCCCTCGTGGCGCTGTCGTGAATGTATGTCCAGCTCTCTCAACACCTGGTACAACAGGAAGTCCGACAGCCCAGCCAGGTGGTAGGCCTTGAGCACCACATCGCTGCCAGACCAGCGGCAGATGGCCTGCGGGGCGCGTGGGTGGTTGGGTGGGTGGTTGGGTGGGTGGTTGGGTGGGTGGTTGGGTGGGTGGATGGACAGATTGATGGATGGGCTGGAGGACGCTGGAGGAGGTTTGGGTCCATCGCACCATTCGCAATATTGTGGATCGCAGTGATATGGACATGGACACTGCTGCGGGTCCTCGGGTCCTCCTACACACTTGTAACCCACCCACCTTGTACACGCAGCTAGCATAACCCCGGTGCAGCTGGTGCGTGACGCGGTACGCCCTGCAGCTCCAGATGCCGTCGGGGGGCAGCAAGGACAGGGGGGCATCCATGGCAAGAAAGAGCAGGCCATCGCCAACCTCCGCCATCTCCATCGCCATTCCCTCATCAAGAGGCAGCGCAGAGTCACACCTTGTACGCTGCTGCTGATGATGAACCTGCTCCTGCTGCTGGGACAGCTGCCCCTGTTGCTGTTGGTGCCCCTGCTGCTGCTGCTGCAGGGACGTCCGTTGCTCCTGACCCTGCTGTTGCTGTTGCTGCTCGGCGGCCTGGGAATCTGGAGACTGACGAGGCCTAGTATTCGAGGGAAAGCTATGTCTGGGGGTCTCGGGGCTCCGAGGCACCGGGAAGAACGCCTCGGTGGCGCTAAAGAGCGGTGCAGCTGCCGGCCGTTGCAGCAATTGGGGCGATTGCGAGGCAAAACCTTGAGGAGCAGGGAAGAGTTGCCCGATGTCGACGCCTAGTTTGTCGGCACCGGCCGCCGGACTGGGACTGGGACTGCCATTCCAGTCCCGCTCTGATGTGCTTGTGCTCTCACGTGGCCGGGGCGGCTGGCTCACTGTCGCTCGTGGGTAAGTATGGCGTTCAGAGCTGCCTGGGGCAGCAACAGCGAGAGGACGCTGAGTCTTGGTGGTCGCGGGAGGGCAAGTGGCCCGTTCTCGACTGGCTTCATTTGGAGCACAGGGACCGCGACTGTCCTGGAAGCCGAAATCCCGCTGAGCTGGCGGTTTTGGTTCCGCGGCGCGAAGTCCGGCCTTCCGCATCGCGCGACTTTGCAAAGCGGATGACTTTCTGTAGTAAGCAGCTCGCATCTGCGCTTCGACAAACGTTTCTGCGGGTGTCGCGCCGCCCTTGGAATGAAGGTTATTGAAAAGTCGCGGTTCTTGCGCGGCGCGTCCAACGGCCGAATCGCCCGTCTTAATGTAGCTAGCTCCAGGTTGAGAATCATCGTCATCGTACTGGTTACAGTGGCCGCTGCCTCTGAAAAAGACAGCGCTCAGGCAACTGGAGCCTTCGGTCGAGAGACCTCCTCTGCCAGCCGCCTGTGACACACTGCCGCTGCTGCAAACAATTGCATTATTACTTTTGTCGCCAAAAAACCCCTTGACAAGCCGTGTCAGGGAAAGCATTCGCAGGCGTTTTCGTGTTGCAACTGAACAACTATCGGCGGGCTAATGCTGGCGGTGGCCAGAAAAGATAGACGCCATCAATTTTCAAGTGTGCAGTTGCGGGCACAGAAAAGCGGAAAGAGCTTGGAGAAATTGAGGTGAAAGGACAAGCTGCAAACCAGCTGGTGAGCTGCAGTTGTTAAATCCAAGAGGACGTCACGCTAGGAAGCGGAAAATGCTGCCGACAGGGTTTAGCCATTTTTTTTTCGTGACGAGATTGGTATCTGTACTTGAACCTTGGCAGTTAGGACGTAACATCCCTGTTGGGAAGGGCTTGGCGTGAACGTGGCTTGCCGATGCGCAAGCGCCAATTCCTTAAAGCCAACCCAATTTTCACAAAACAGTTGCCTTACATACGGAAGGAAACGATTCGGCGCATGCTCTTAATTTTTTCTCAACACGTGGCGTCTTTTCGGCAGCGCAGTATATCTAATAACGGAAGCCAAATTGTGTTCGCGTTGCGCATGCATAGTGAAGGAACACTAGACTATTTGCTAATACCACACGCAGGACATACGAGTGCGAAAGCTTGCCAATACATGCCAATCGCACGAACCGTTATGACCGTTACAGCGCAAGGCAACGATGACGAGAAAGGGTTTCATTCCTTTCGTATTGACATCCAGCTGTCTCCGATAAATGATAAATGGTGTGTCCACACAAGCACTAACGCCAGGTTTCCACCAGCGACACGTGGCTGTATCGTATAACTGGCCGTATTGTGTTCGTTGAGAATACCGCCTAATCGTGCAGCAATATATTTTTTCAAAAACAAACAATACTGCAAAACAATGGTTAAAATTTGCTTAATCGCAACATGTCGCGATTCATCATGTACACAGCGCTGCTCGCTTTGCCAGTACGATGCTCGCATACCACTTTACAGTCCTTCCGCCCACTCACAACAAGCCACAAGGAAATCGCCGTTCCAGGCTCACGCACCAACCTCCTCCTCGCATTACACCACATCCAGGAATAAGCACACGCCCGCCAGCACCCATTTAATCTCCGAGTGCTTGCTCTTCAGCTGCGCCTCGAACACCTCCTCGCGGAAGCGTGCTTCCGTCGTGTAAACCGGGCACTTGTACACGTCCTTCATCTCTGCCTTGTCCTGCGTGACAGCGCGCACCAGAATGACCGGCATCGGACAGAACAGCTCCTTCGGCTTTGAATCATCCAGCGCGCCAATTTTGTCGTCCCACCGTGCGCCTTCCAACGTAAGCCCGTGAATGAATGCGCCATCGCGGCTGTTGGCCTCGATCTGATCGGGCTGCTTTTTCGTCACTTCCGTAATGATAACCGTCTTGTCCAGCGGCCAGTCGTTGCGACGCGCCGTTGCCTGCATGACGGCCGTCAGGAAGGACTGCGGGTTGAACAGACCCGATAGCCACACCGCCTTGGGCGTAAGGAGCTCGGCCGTCCAGTCCACCAGCTGTGCATGCCGGGCAAGCAGGTTGCCCAGCCAGGAGCCAAGCGGCCGCAGCGAGGGGTAGGCCAAGTTGCGCCAGGAGCCGGGGACCGCATCTGTGGCCAGCGACTTGAGTAGGCGCTCCATGGGCTCCGTCATCGTCAGGTCGCCCTTGAGGCCCAGATCCAGCTCCATCAGAGAGCGCTTCATCTCCGCCAGCAGCATATTCATGCGCTCCGATTCCTGTCGGAGGTAGAGCAACAACGCATTTGAAGACATGGATTGATTGAACATTACGGAGCCAGGGGCCATCACGCAAGCCTGTGATGCTATCGTAAGTGTTTGTCATGTTTGGACATCCGATAGCAGCCCCCCTGCCGTGCCCGCTAAGTCCTTATGCCCACCCACCTGGATGGCCACCATGACGAAGGGCATGTTGGGGTCGTCTGGATTGATCTTGGAGCGCACGTCTTCCATGTCAAAAATGTCTGGCAGCTTGTCCACCACTTCGTCCAGCACTAGTTTGGCACGCTCTTCGGCACTCATGCCGCCCTCGCCGCTGCTCTCCCGTGGCTGTAGCTGCACCAAACTGTTGCAAAACGACTCCGCCTCGCGCAGCTTGAAGCCGATCTCAGCGTTGGGGTGCAGGCCAAACGCAAGTGGTGTCTCGGGGGGCATCTGCTCATCGATGAACTCCAGTACCTGCGGCCCAGGCCAATGGTAAAGCTCCGGTCATGTGAGGCGCAGCTGAGAGGTCGTCGGCCCTGCTCTTGCCACAGATGGCTGGCTTTTGTGGGATTATCGAGAAGCGCTACACTGACTAGGCACCAAAACGGTTTAATGAAATGGAGCGGGAGACGCAACACGGTGAGCAAGTTTGTCATGTGTGCGCCGCAGACTCAAAAAGATCCAAGGACTGACAGGGAAGTGGCCAAAGGGACTGGAGCGGCATCCTCCATGTCGCTCACCATGCCTTCCACTTACGTACCTGGCGGTGGTTGGCGGTGTTGGGCGGCATGCCGAACGATGGGAAGAACTCCATGTTCTCCAACAGCCCCTCGTTGACGTACTTCCGAAGGTAGCACATGGCCAAGCGGCGGTCATAGTCCTCCACAATGTGACCACCGTACATAATCTCGCCGAAGTTGTACCGCAAATCCTCCCAAGGCACCTTGACGTTGTTCTCCAGGTAGTTGTTGGCAGTCTGGCCACAGCACAACAGATCCCCCGTGTTGAAGGGGTAGTTCATGTTCCAGCCAATGCCCGAGCGCGCGCCCGGCAGGTTGCCCACGCCAAACTTCTTGCGCTCCAGCAATGCCGCGTGGAAGTAGCACAGTGCAAACACGATCGCGCGGAACTCTGCCTGCTTGGCGCAGCTCTCCAGGATCTCCTCGTTAAAGTTGTTCCAGGCGCGGCGCAGATTGGCCTTCAGCCCCTCCGGCGGCTCGTTAGTCAGCTTGATGCTGTTCTGCAGCAGCGAGATCGGCAGACCCCGCTCCAGCGCCGGCGGCGGCTCCGCTGACAGGAAAAGCCGGAAGTCGGAGTGTGCGCCTTCCACCAGCTTGTCCACCTTTTTGTCAAGCTGGTTGGTGGTCCACTCGATGGTGAGATGGATGTTTTGCAGCAGAACCCAGCCGCCATTCTTGTGCGCGGCGGACAAACGGTCCATGGCAATGGGCTCCTGCCCCTGGCCTAGCGACACGGATGCGTACTTGCCGTTGTCCAGCGTGAAGCCCAGCTTCCGTCCCAGCGCCTCCACGCTGCCTGCTACATCCACGCCGGGCGACAGGAACACGAAGATCGGCGTACCGGGGCTGGAGTCCTGGTAGGATCGCTCAAGGTCGTACGGCTGGCTGGTCACATACTTGGCGCCCAACATGTTAGTCACGAAGCGGCCCATGGCGGATGTCAGGCGGTCTGGGCGGAGAGCCCTGCAAACAAACAGCAAAGCCACATCATGCGCGTATGAAGGCAGCAAGCAAGGCGTTACCGCTGCGCTCCAAGCAGAAATGGTAGCGGAATGACATGACTGCACCATTGACCAGTCATGGATTGCAATTAGGGACACCAGCTGCCGTCGTGTCGTGTCAGGCCCAACGCAGCCAGAGGCTGTTATGAGCCAGGTGAAGAGAGGAGCGAAAACGCCCACCTGAAAAGCAGCAGCTTGTCAAACTCCTGCATGCGCTTCCAATCGCCTGGCAGCGGCTCGTCCTCGGGGCGTTCTAGCTCCATCCACTCACGCCAGCGTTTGGAGCTGCCAATAAGGTCCTCAGGCAAGCCCTGCCATAAGCAACACAGGAAGCACAATTTAAAGGTGACGCTGCAGAGGCCACGTGCGCCATGTACAACGTAATGGCTGTTCCAAAGCATGCCTTTGAATCCATCTGTTGTGTGGGTGCGAACATTTTTGGCTGACAGCTGCCCTCCCGTTACCGCACGCTGCGCATGCCTGGAAGACAAAGCCGCAAGACACTAAGTGCCACACGACCGCCATGCCAAAGCTATCCGCGTATCTGTTGCACGCACCTGGTAATCGTCCAGCTCCTTGAGCGCCTGTACACTGCCCCACACGCTGTCCGACACCCAGTCGTGCAGCGGGTTGTCGGCCCCCATAACCTTGGGGCCGCGCAGCAAGTACTCAAACTTGGCGTAGTGCAACTCGCCGCGTGAACGCAGGATCTGCATGCATAGCTGCGTCGCAACAATGAGCTTGTGCCGCTCAAACAGGCCCTGGGCAACGTACGCAAAGAGCACAAAGCAGGTAGTCTCCACTAGCAGCTCCACGCGCTTGTCCAGGTCCACCTCCTGACCAAGACGCTCCGCCACGGGAACCTGCCAGCAGGGAGGGCAAAACAGCGATTTATGGTCCGGAAACGATGGCATTAACACGCAAATCTCCATGACACATGCCGATGGAGATTCACGGTGAACCAGCTCACCTTGCTCTCGTCCTTGCTTCCCGGTGTCATGTCCATGCCCTTCTTCAGCACGAAGACGAAGTTGGCCATTGAGTAGTGGTACACACGGTCAAGCGCATTCAGGTTGTCAATTAAGAAGTACACCAGTGACCCGCGCGTCGCCACGGGACGGTAGACTTCGCGCGCCTTCGCGATCTGGACTTCGGTCTGCTTGGCAAGCTTGACCTTCTCCTCAATCTCCACAGCGGTGCGCTTGGTCTCCTCCAGACCCTCAATCAGCTCAATGTTCTCGAGGATGTTGCCCTATGAGATAAATACAGAGAAATGTCCATTAGCACCCGTACATGGGCGTGTCCAACAAACTCGTGCCAGCGATCCACGACAAAGTCAACGCGGCAGCCCTTTCCACGAGCCTCAAAGAGGAAATCTGCATTGTTCCTTACGCAAGAGGCAAGATACTCACCGTAGCATTGGCCAGGTTATAGAGCAGATTGTTCTCAAGCTCCACCAGTGTAATGTTGTACTCGTTGAGGGAGCGCACCAGGCCAGCCGCCTGCTCCTGTAGATCTGGTCGCTCGTGGTCCACCACGAGCGCCAGCAGCTGGTCCTCTAGACCCTTCTCTGTGACACAGAAGTTAACGAGTGTTGTCTGCGCCGCCACCTCGGGCTTGTAGTGGGGGTTGGATAGCTTGGTCTGCAGGTACAGCCGGAAACGGCTGTCATAAGACACCTCTGTGTCGCCGATCTTCATGATGACGTTTCGGGCCTTGCGGATAGTCATCTTGCCGATTACAGGGTCAAGTACAGCGTCGATATCCACCGGCAGGTTCTCAATCAGAAGGGGCCAGCCATTCTCGATGCAGTGGATGACCTGTCGGGAAGGGAGAGTAGCGAGGCAGGGCATCCCCGCAATTTAGCAAAAGTATGCATAAAATGTGGTTCCATGTTTACCATGCCAAAAGGGCCGCTACCACCTATCTTGCGATAATCGGGCGAAAAACAGAACGGAAGTTAAGCAACGACCTGCCGGCAGCGGCGCTGCATTAGGGGATGGGTCACCTTTGCATCATGTAGATCCCAAACCGCAAGCCATGACGCCTCACCTGGTCAATGTATTTGGGCTGGCTCTGTTGGATAATGACCAGGCCATTGTTGGTCTCCTTGTTGATGATCCATCGGATGCCCTGCAGCTGGGGATCGATCATCAGCGCCCAGCGACTGGCGTTGGACATGATAGCACCGTTCTCCACCGACAGCGGGTCGGTTGGCAGCCCCTCGTTGGCCCACTTGGCCTTGGTGGCGTCATCCGTCAGCAGGTCGAGCGGCTTGATGCCCGAGGTCATAGGAATCTGGCGCTCAATGATATCAGGCAGCCACTTCTCGTCCACAAGCGCCTTGCGGAACTGCATATTGAAAGGACCCGCGTAGGAGACGAAGGCTGAGGCAATAAGCACATCGCCGACAAGGCGACCCTCTAGCGACTCCAGCCGCTTGATCTCTGCACCCCAGCGGGTGTTCTCGCCCGACAGGCCGTTGATGAGGCGCTCCGCCATCTGGGCCTTGCGTGCAGTGCGCTCCGCCTGTGCGATGGCGGCATTCTTGTCCTCCGTGGCCTTCATGAGGCTCTGCTCTAGAAGTGTCACGCGATCCTGCAGGCGCTTCACCTCGGCGCGAATGCCGCTGAGCTTCTTATTGGCAGCGTCCAGCTTCTTGTTCGCCTCAGCCAGCGCGGCACGCTTCGGCGCCACGACCTAGGTAGGGAATGGTTATCATTTGAAGAAGGGTAGCTTAGGTGGCGGTTCCAGTCCGCGCAAGGATTTTCGTGTCCACACTTACTTCACCCAGCGGCCCCAGACGGCATACCCACCTGGTAGATCCTGAAGTACTTGCAGATGTTTATGACCCAGCTGCAAAGACCAGCAGCGGCAGCGGACTTGCCCTTGATGTTCTCTGGGGTAAAGCCCTGCAGCGAGATGTAGTCCTTCTCGCAGGTCTCCACACAAACGACCTGCAAGTCACGTACGAAGACGGGCCGCGGAAGATGCACCTCAGCCCATACACCGTAGCCTGCCTGTAAATTATCCCAGCTTGATGCAGCTGCCAACGCACTCAATACGATTTAACATCAGTCAACAAACCTTTTCATATTTGCTCGCCAAACTAGCAGGCCCTGAGCCCCCTCGCTTTTCTCAAGTAAACCCCATCAACAGCCGTCCGCGTACCGGCACATTGTCCTTGTCGAAGCTCTTCAGACTGGCCAGGAACGAGTTGACATCCGCCATCATCTTCTTGCCCGCGTTCCAGTCGCGGTCCTTGGGGATCTTGCCGCCGCACGTCAGCACCAGGCACGCAGCTGCCACCTGCACGATCTCCGCCGCAGGACTGCCGAACGATTTGAGCTCAGACAACTCCTTCTTGTTAAGCGAGTCCAGCGCCGCCTCAGCCTGCTGGATGATAGGCTCTGCTTCGGCCAGATCACGCTCGCACTCCGCCTGGAAGGCTGACACATCAGCTTGGAGCTTCGTCGCCGCGTCCTCGTCCTGTTAGCGAGGGTTTTTTATTTTTTATTGGCTGCTCGTATTTCATAAATACACCAAATGAATGATCATCAGTAAAAGCTTGCAGCAAGCTATTGCTAAATAAAACACCAAATACGCCAAGGCGCCCTCTAATTCCATTCCCGGTTTAAAGTGCAGGGACTTACCAACCTCTCCTCCTGTCAACCCCACAAAAACGCACCTCGCGGCCCGCCTCCACGGCCTGATCCACCACCGCCTTTTCGCGGCCAATAGAAACAATAAGCTCGTCCGTCTGTGCCTTCTTCTCTTCTACCACAATCTGCTCTTCCTTCAGCACGCGCTGCAGGTCCGTCACCTGCGACGACGCCTGCGCGATCTTGTCGATACCATTCTCTAGACGTTCCTTGCTGCGGCGCAGGTCCTCACGCTTAATCTGCAGGTCATCCATCGACACAGGAACGGTGGCAAGCCAGGCGTGAGCAGTTGAGAGCAGTCATTTCGTGTCGCAGGATTACCCTGTTATACAGTCAAGCGTATGGTATGCAAATCCCGTAACGCCCGCCAATGAAGCTTGTGCCAATTGCGACGTTGGCTTCTTAGCCCCACCTGCAGCAGCGTCTTATAGAGGCTGATGAGCTCCAGGTAGGATTTGGGCGTGGTGTAGTTGTAGCGGCGGAACGCCTCCTTGAAGCGCTCCGAGGCCTCCGAAACGCACTGATGCGCGTAGGCCATATGATAGGCGATGTTCTCACGCACGCCCTCCTCCAGGTTGGGTACGTCCACCAGGAAGCGCTGCGCCACCGACACCAGTGCCTCGCCGGGCCAGCCATGGAACCAGTCAAACATGGTGCAGTTGACCAGCGCGGGGAACTGGCGAGCGCGCACGCGGAACTTGTCACCCACGGGTGAGAAGCACAGCACAATGTGCAGGAAGCGGCGGACCTGCGCATGAGGAAGGGTTGTGAAGGGACCGCAAAGCCGAGCCCTGGCTAAAACCCGCAGCAGCCCACAGAAGGACTGCATTCTCACCTTGTCAATGAAGAAGTCCCAGCAGTTCTCCATGGTATCCAGGATACCGGCGCCCTTGACCTCGTTGCGCACCGCGTTACAGAACGCCTCTTTGTCTTCCGCCGAGAATAGGTCGGCAATGTAGCCAGTAGACAGAAGGTCGTTGATGTACACCAAGAAGCCCTCCTTGACAATTTGGTTATCGGTCATGAGGAATGTGATGGGTGTACCCTTGGTGCCGGCCTTGCGGTACAGCCCAAGCAGATTCTCCTTGAAGTCCGCAATGCCATACGTGGACGACACGGAGATCTGGTAGACCTCATAGCCACAAATGTACGACGCCAGGCGCGCGAGTGATTGCTTGCCGGAGCCGCCCACGCCGACGAGCATAGCATTGCCGCGCGGCAGGTCGATGATGCGGGAGATGCGGGTAACATGCTCCATGGCTTGCTGGAACAGCACCAGCTCCATAACAGCGTTAGACTCGTTGTACTCACGTAGCTTATCCTCCAGCGTCTTGCGCAATGTGTCGTACGAGTTGATGGCGCAATACACAGCGATGTCGTCCGAGGTATATGTCATGGATGCGTGAGAAGCGTAGATTAGTGGCCGCTCCTCAACGGCTGCCATGCCACCGCAATCGTCAAAATATCTGCAGAACGTAAGCGCAAAACAAATGTCATGGCAGGGCAGGGTTGGTGTATCATTCTGCAGTGCTCGTCTCAAGCATAACCGGTTGCCTTTCGGCACCCATCCATCTCTTGAGGCACACTGACACTGAACGCCGACTGGGCTCAACAGGCCTTGGGTAACACTGTCATCCAGGCACAACCCCGTCAAAGCTCACGCCCACTGATCTGAGTGCCAATTCCCTACTACCCATTCGCTCTGTTACTCACTTCTTCGTGACAGCCACCCGGAACTCGTCAAACTTGGCCATGTCAGCATCGTTAATCATACGGTCGCGGAAGACACGCTCGCACTCGTGCACCCACAGGCGGGCCGCCTTGATCGGCTCGCGGTAGTACTCCTTGATCATGCGGCACAAACCCTGCAGTGAAGCAAATAGACCGACAAACGTCATGGCTACACAAGAAGGATGCTGGCAGCGCAAACAGTCGATGTGAAGCTGGTTTGGCTAAAGTCAGCTCCAGCGACGGGCAAGGGCTGCTGGTCCAGCAACTTAGGGTTGCAGGGCAGGGCAATTAGCTTTAAGCACTCTAGGTCGTGAGCTCGCCTTATCCGCCCACCTGGGTAATGTTCGAGAGGTCGCGCAGGTTGAATTGGTAGTGGAACTTGACTGCTGACGGTAGGAAGTTGTTCATGACCTGCATAACGGAGAAGGGTGGGGTCATGACGGGCACCTTATCTTTGATCAGATGCAGTAGGCACGCTTCGGTGTCCACAGGCAGACTCAGGTATAAGCATCATGCAGAAAACTGCACCGTATCGGAATGCTGGGTACTTTCCACAGACCACTTCCAAAGGGCCAAGGGGGCCAGCACACGTGAACAACGTACGTTACGGTGCAGCTCAATGGTGGCGTCCACCAGCTTATTGGGCATCTTTGACATGTCTGCATCGAAGGTAGACAGGTGTCCCTCGATGATCTGGTAGTACATAGCGCGAGTGATGTCGCTTGTGGGCATCTGCACCGCGAACGTCACGAAGTGCCGCTGCATGCGCGGCGTAATGTTGAAGGAACCGGCAGTAGGGTTCATGCACGCCGCCATCTGGCAGTTGATGATCTCCTTGAGCTGGATCTTGACCTTGTCGTACCAGCCGTGGTAGTCGACCATCTGGCGGAGCAGCTCGATGGAAGACTGCGTGTCGTACTTGTCCACCAGTGGCATGTTCATGTCGTCCACGAAGTACACCATGCGCCGAGAGCCAGGTGGGCCGTAACGAACACCTGCGAGTGGCACTCAATTCGAGTCAGGCGTGCCAGTAGGATCTACCAAGGCTGCGAAAGGACCCCAAACAGTGCAGCATCCTTGAAATGACCCTTGAACGACATTGCAACATGACATCAGCTGTGCAGTATGCAACTGCTTGGGCAATGAGGCGTGAACGGATATTGGACAGCTGCCGTCCTACGAACGCGGAAATATTTGGGTATGTACTCAACGACCTTTGGTCGAGGGGAGACCACTGAGGGACGAAGCGAAAGCAGCAGACAGCCGGCAAAACCAGGTGCAGCCCGCCTGGGACGCGCCCTTACTCCATGGAGGTGCCCCTCTTCACAAACCCGTTCTCTAGCACCCTCACCCGACTTCTTCTCGAGCGGCTGTTCCAGGATGATCTGCAACGCGGGGGCCTCCGACAGCGAGTTCATGTTGATGGTGTAGTAGGTCATCGCCTCGGTATCCATCGAGCGAAGCTTGTTGACCATAATGGCCGATTTGCCGGTGCCGGTATTGCCCACAAACATGGCGAAGTGCTTGTTGGAGATGAGCGAATCCAGGAAGTACGTCAGACGCGTGGTCTCCACAGTCGGCACGAACAGCGAGCCAAAGTCGCCTGGGAGATACTGGAATTTGACCACCTTCTCTTCCCACGGCACCATGATGCACTGCTGCTCGTCGACGAAGTAGTCGTACACAAGGCCCTTCTCCGGGAACTGCACGTCCTTCCACTCCGACACCCACCACTTGGAGAACTGCGTGCGGTAGTCCGAGACCTTGTCCACCAGCATGCAGCCACCGAAGGCCCAGATGCACGCAAACACAAAATGGTAGTGCAGCAGCTTCTTGTCCGGTGGCGGGGCACCCCTGTCGGCGGTTGAGAAGCAGCGCAGGTCAGGCTTTGGAGGCGAAAATGGTTATGTTTTATCTGAACCGCGGCGTTAGCTGCTCACCGATATAGAACTTAGGACGTCGCCTCGCCACCGTACAAAGGGTTTGGTCGGTTTAGGGGCGGTACTTTGGGTCACCCACCTCACTGTCTCTTTGGGCAGGATGCCCTCCAGGATCTTGCAGATAGTCATGGCCTGATTGACCGCGGGCAGCGGCACCACCGTCTTAAAGTTGCGGCGGCAGTGCTCCAGGCAGGGATCCACGTACTTGGTGAACAGTGCCGTGAGCAGCGGCCGATATTCCGCAGCCTGCATAAGACAAAAAAGGAACGTATTAGAGCATCGCTAGTGTTAAGCAGGAGGGACCGGCATTTGCACACAAAACGCATGAACGGCTCAGCCAGGAAGCAAGCAATCAATAGACCCGTGCAAACATAACAGTAACAACGCAAAGGACATCAGGAAACCACTAACAGAACCGGCCCTGTTCCAACAACCCACACCCACCTCCAGTTTGTCAATCCAACTCCACACCACCGGCTGCCAGCCCACATCGTCAGCGTTGATAAAGATGACACCGCCGCGCGACACAGTGGCAGGTGAGCAGTGCACCATGTGGTTAATCTCCAGGAGAAGGCGCATAGAGGGTGTAAGCGGGATACGCTCGTTGGAGGCTAGCGTAAGCATCTTGTTGTCGTCCATGACGGTGTTCATTGACTCAATCCACTCAGCATCAATGTCGCCGTCTAGCACAATCCACTGGTGCTTGTTGGACTTGTTGTTGGCCATGTTGCGGAAAGTGACTGACATGAGGCCCTCCTTCCACTCGCGGGTGGCCGGATGCAGATATCCGTACAATTCATTGCGGGTGACGGCCTTCGGGTTGACAGCCTGTTAGAGGGACGGGGACGACCAGTTTTGCACCTCAGAAGCCAAACAGTGGCGGAGCGAATTCGCATGACAAATGGCTGCTTCATATGACACAAAAGTTAGCGACGAATATGTGTGGTAACATGGGACGCCCAGAGCACAGCGCTTACTGGCAGCGACGTGTTTTTGAACTGGCGCAGGTACGTATACCTAGCTACGCGTGCTTAGCTACCCATTTACGCACCTGGTACACCGTCTTCTCGCCAATAGCGTTCTGAGCGCGCATAAGCGTGCGCCACACCGCCGTCTTGCCGCAGCCTGCAGAGCCGAGCAAGAAGACGGACCAGCGGACCACGAACAGCTCGCGCAGCTGGCTAATCTTGAGCAGAAACTGTTCATCTGGCTGGTAGCCCAGCTCGGAAGCCGCCTTTGCCGCCTGCAAGAGCGGAGTTCATGCAAGATCGCCTGTTCGTTGGAGAGTGATTAACACTCATACACCTCTGGAATGTGGGAGGAGTCAATACGGCCCGTAGGTGGAGGGTTGCTTTCCGCTCTTACATTGTTCCACCTTGGAGTGCCCCCCAAGCGTCCAACCGGTCAAGTACAGGTCACGTAATGTAACTGCTACGATTGCATGCCACCCTTCCTGCTCCGAGAGCAGACAACCATTGTGCCCTTCGCCAATGGGTCAGGTTGCAGGCTCAGCGATACGTACCGCCTCGTCAAATGCCTTGTCCTGTGCGCGCGGCACCAGTTCCAGAGTCTTGGGGAACAAGTCGTTAAGCAGGCCCATGAAGATGCTCGTGTCATCGGCTGTCAATTTGCCCAGATTGAAGTCACGCAGCGCACGCAGCAGCACCTGCACACGTAGCGACGTCATGCAAACGCTTTTGAAATGGCCCTTGTCACCGGGTTGCTGAAACAAAGCAAACACGCACACAGGCTGTGAAGACCTCCCAAGCCTGTGCCTTGGTCAATGCAGGCACACCGCACCATACCATTACCCATGGACCGCAGCTGCAGGACACCTCAGCCAAGGCAAGGCCGCGTAAACAAGAACCACACTCATGGCATGGTCTATGTCAGTGCAAAACAGAAGAGGTCATGCATCGTTGATGGAAGCAATGATGCGGTGACTACTGCAAGCTAGAGCGGAAGGGACGACACACCTTGTCCTCGCTGAGCTCCGGTGCGGCGCGCTTCATGCCTCCGGCTACGTAAAGAGTGGTCTTGATAGCGCGTAGCTTCCAATCGTAGTGGCGGCTCTTGGACAGGAGGTCCTCGCACAGCTTGTACAGGATCACGAACTTGCGCGACAGGATCTTGGACATCTGGAAGCCCTCCGCCATGAGCATAATCTCGCAAATCAGCGCCAGATCGGGTACAACCATGGAAACCGGTCGGAAAAGGGCCTGCGGGTCGGAAGCAGCACCGCGAAAAGCAGTGCATAAGTACTAAGGTTTGTAGTGGCACATACATGCGGCAGGAGTCCAACATGGAAACCGACCACGTGCAGGTTCACCCTTTTCCATGCACCGCAAAACAAGGGCTACATATCGACAATCCACAAACGTCCCATCCGGCAAATGCAGTGAGCTTGGGTACTTATAAACGGCGCAAGGTTCAATCCATCAGCGGATACTGTAACCATGCACTTCCCGTCTAACAGGCGCTCGTGGCAATCTGCCGCGGCCATGCCCCAGCCCGACCGGCCATGCACCTTGAGTGACTCCGGGAGCTCGGCGCGGCCAGGGTATCCGGGGTTCATAGTAATGAAAGCCATGACGGTGGGCTTCAAGCTGATCTCCGCGTCTTCGAAGATGAAGCGCTCCTTTTTGGCGCGAATCGCATCCAGTACCGTCTTGTACTGTGTGCTGCACACCGACAACACGGCGACGGGAATGCGGTTGAATTCGTCAAAGCATCCCCACGCGCCCGTTTGTGCCAGACCCTTGTAGGTGTGGCCCATCGCCTTGTAGTCCATCTGGTCCGAGCAGTTGAACACGTAGCACTGGATACCCAGTGCGCGCGCCAAATCCTTTGTAGTCTCAGTCTTGCCCGTGCCAGCCGGGCCGGCTGGTGCACCACCCAGGACCAGGCGCTGGGCCTGGGTGAGGGTGATAAAGCAACGGTCGGTAAGTGGTGTGATACAGAGGCAACCGCAGTTGCCGATGTACTCATAGCTGTAGGCGATCTCGGCATCGCAGATGTTGACCTGACAGGTCTTCGTCTTCTCAGATTGAAGGTACCGAAGCTGTGACTGCCACTGGAAGCACATCTGGTCCTCGACACGCTCATCAATTAGCTTCTGCACCAGGTCACGCGAGTGCACATCAATCGTGCACAGCGTGATGAGCTTCTTGCGGTCCAACGACGTCTGCTCCTTGTTGATGTCATCGATCAGGTCCGCCAGCTGTTGCACCTGACGGTCCAACTCCACCTTGAGCGCCTCCTCGTTACCTGCAATTGGGTATGTTTACCAAATACGGGTCACGAATGGGAAGGGACGGTACAGATGGAGCTATGGCCAGAGGCGGGCAAAGCGGACGAAAGACTGAATACGTGCGACAGCTGTGTCAGACCGGCATGTAGGCATGCGGTCTGGGGAGTGTTGTTCTGAACACGGCAACAGGTAACGAACGCACACATGGTGGCACGAGAGCAGCCAGGTCGGCCCAGCTATCGGGGCTCACTCACCCTCCTCGAGATCGTCGAAAGCCTCATTGACCTCCTGAGTGAAGAATGTGCGGCTGACAACCACTGTATTCTGCGCGCTGTACTTGTAGAGCCAGGTAGTGCGAGGCATCTCATCGTAGGTGGGAATGGCCTTGCGGAACTCCACCTGCAGTGCTAGCTTCATGCTGTCCACCACGTTTTGCAGCCAAACCTCCACGGGTCCATCGCAAGAGCAGTCCGCAACAAACTCCACCACCTCGCCTTCCTTGGAATGCATATGCGTGGCGATCTTGGTCGGGTCACCGCGCTCGTCCTTCCTGCAGGCGCACAAAAGGATGGAGAAATGAAAGCATATCAGGGCGTATGCGATATCCATTCATGCACGCAAACGCACGCTGCGCAGTACGATGTGATGCACGGACAGCAAAGGATACCGAGCCAGCACGGATAGTTTCATCTATCGAAAGCGTTATTAATGTGGGCTCGCACCTGAAGGACAGGTTGTCGATATTATCGAAACACTTCTGCAGGTGGCGCAGGATGAGCTGCGGGTTAGAGCCTTTGGACAGGATGTCCAGCAGGTCAGCCGGTGACACGAAATAGAAGCGTGGGAAGGCCACACGCTTGGTTTCCAAATACTCCTGCAGGTGGCGTCAAAAGCCAGAGCATATAATATCAGTTTATCGGCCACGAGAATATAGACCAAAGGAACAGGCGCAGTAGCTATGGGTGAACAATCCCCTGACAAATTCATGCGGTTCTTGCCAAACACAAAACAGCCTACTAATGACCGCACCTGCAGGGCCTTCTCGCACTGCTCCAGCATGGTCTGCATGTTCTCCAGCCGCTCCTGGCGGCCCTCAAACGTGCAAGCCTCTACCACGTTCGTGATGTCGGGCGCGACGCGCATGAGGTCCTACAAAGGTGGCAAACGAGGGGCATTATTGTTGATTTTTAACACAGCATCCATTACGCAAACGCCTTCACAAGCCGAGGGCCCAGGAACCCTATTAATATGCAACTCAGCAGGTCCCTGATGAAGGCATCTCATTTGCCTGGCCAGCCCCAATAAGCTTTGGTTGCTTCCCTATGCGTGCTCAGAAGGCGCTTACCCCTGGGTGCCCTGAACAGTTGGTTATTCAATGCCAACCCTGTACGGTCGACCCTTCACACCTGGAAGTCGGCGTTCACGGCGTCAAAGCGCTTCGAATCCTCAGGCAGCTGTACACGGATATCCGCCGAGCCAATAAAAATGGACTCCAGGTTCTGCCACTTCTTCTGTACGTTCTGCCACGTCTCCAGCACCGCTGAAACCTTGCCCATGTTGTTTTGCCATTTGGACACGGTCTCCAGGAACATGGGGTTGGATTGCACGTACTTCTGACCTGATAGGTTTTGCAGCTGCAAGTTGTCCGCCTCCAGCGCCTCGTTCACCGCATCCTCCACTTGCAGCGCCACGACGTCCGAATCCTGCGTTGCACCAGCAGCATACAGCATTGCGCATTGAGTATCGCTTCTGCGTGTGAACGGAATACATAGCCGGCCACGTGGCAGGGATGCCTGCCATAGCGAGAAGCCTGGACAAGCACCGCATACCCAACATTCTTCTCTGGAAGTCAGCCATGGTCACTCAGAAGACAATGCACGTCCTATCACAACCTGGGGTTTGCACCTTACCTGGTAGGGAGCGAAGCCAAGGCTGAGACCGGCCCACGTGTCCTCAATCTTCTTGAGCTGCTTCTCGATGTTGAGCTCCTTCTGCGCGCGATCCACAATCTCAGAGCAGGCATCCACATAGTTGTGTAACTCCAGTGCCAGCAGGTCGCCAAGACAAAACTTGTCGTCCATGACGAAGTGCTTGCCGGTCGTCTGCATGAGCAGCTTCCAATGCCGCTCGCGCATGGCCGGATGGTGCAGATCCTGCAGGCCAAACGAGGCAGAAGGAGAGGACATCAGGATGCGTCAACGAAGGACAATGTGCGGTCGGTGGGCAAATGAAAGGATGCAACATGAACAAAGAAGAGGTAAAAGGACAGCTACCGGTGCTGGCCATTTCATACCAACGGATTGCACTTACGCCTCCGGACCCATGCGCCGTGCAACCGAGGTTTTGCGGGCCGTCAAATACTTCCTACTTCGCGCATACCTGCACGAGCGGCAGCGACGTGAGCATCGCTTTGATGGACTCCTCCAGCATCCGGTACACGTCATAGTTGCGGACAGCCTTGTTGAGAGTCTTGATGTCTTTCGACAGCTTCTTGGTCTCCTCCACCAGGAAATCCACGTCAATTTTGTCCCATGGCGTCTTGTACCAGTCACGGAAGGTGAACATGACAGTCCCCACTGTGTCCCACAGATTCTTCAGGTGGCCCAGCTCCTCATTGCAACGCTGTAACTTCAGGTAGTCAGACTGGTACAGCTCGAACAGATCCTGTGGGACGTTTGTTTTGGCGGTCACAGCAACGGGTTTGAAACCCCTCTTGACGAATATGCAAAAGGCGCAGCGCGTACAGTTCAAGACGTGACATGGGGGCGGTCCTGGCCGCATCAACAGGGGTAAGCTTCGTTGAAACGAATATGCCACGCTTCCGCCATCGATAGGTGGTTACAACCATATCTGCTTGCGCCGAGCAATGCATGGAGTGGCCTTCCTCCTTTCCATGCTTCCCATGATCCGAATTCCCCCCACACATCTTGTGGCGATACCTGTGCCTCCTGCAGTTGCTTGGACTCAGCGATGATGCCCAACACAGACGGGTAGCCCTCCACGCTGCCTGAACGGAATTCGTCCAGCATCTTGTAGGAAGGTTTGACCTGCCAACCGGCGCATACAGCAGCAGTCATTTAGCATTGACATGAGCTCGGTACAGAAAAGAAAGCCGCCGTTCCCGTCAGTCTGCAAAGGCCTGCGATTTCACCTGCTGCCTACTAGGGTGTCGTGTCACCCGGAACCCAGCACTGAAAGCACGCTGCAATAGCCCCGCGCCACTCACCTGTTCCAGCTTGAGCTCGCCGCCGGTGACCGTGAAGGGCGCCTTACGCTGGAAGAAGGTTCGGAACTCCTCCACACGCTCGTTGAAAGCGTCTGACTTGCGTCGGATCTCCACCGCCTCGGCCTGCTGCAACGGAGCCAGCTGCTCACGGCGGTTGAGCATTTTCTTCTTAAGCATGCGCCAGTTGAACTCCGCATTATCCAGCTGGTGCAGCACAGTGTCGTTGAGCTGGATGCCAAACGAGTGCAGCAGCGATACTGTCTCCTTGAGGGGCTCGAACATGTTGTCGGTGCCGCGCTCAGTGCGGCGGCGAATGTCGCGCATGCAGGCCATGATGGAGTACAGCGCCTTGCGCTTTTCCTCCTCCTCCTGGGCCTTCCTGGCAGCTACAGGCACGGGAGGGATGGAAGAGGTGAGGGGCAGGTTAACTTCTCCGTGTGGCTCGGGAGTGTTGCTTCAGCTAGGGGACGACTAAGGCCAATTCCACAAAGGCCACTGTGAAGTGTCCAGCACGCATGTACGCCAGCACCCACCCGCCTCTTCCGAATCCTCCTCCGCGTGGTATTCCTCCTCTTCGCTGCCCTCGCCAAGCACCTTGAGGTCCAGTGTGTGGTTGGACACGTCCATAAAGCTGTACAGCTCCGTGATGCTGTTCACCACCTTCTCCTGTGGGTGGGCAGGGAGATGACCACACGGTTACACACTTGATGGACCACGCCAGCAGGGTTGGTACAACATGATAGGAGCTGGCCATGCCATCGCAGCTTGGCTATGGCAGAGTAGGCCAGGTAGGGCATACGGAATGCAACTAGGCGCCTGCAAATGTGTGGATTCGGTTCCAAACTGGCAAAGCACAACTGACCCCGTAATGCCATGACTGGCTGCCAGAAACGCACCTGCAGGTAGTGCGTGAACAGGTAGACCCACTTGGAGGCCCACGTGGACAGCGCCTGGCGGAGCGGCTTGGCATTGACCTTGACGTAGCCAATCGTCATGGTGTCCTTGAACGACGCGATCTCCGTTGCAATGTTCTTGTACTTAGCAATCTGCGTGCCCAGCGATGGAATGGGTGCATCAGTTAGGGCCATCTCTCAAGCCATGTGCCACGAGCCATGCGAAATATACTAGGAGATATGGCTGTCGTGTCCTCCGGATCTAGATACAAGACGCCCGCAAAGGTGGGCACCACATCCGAACAAAACATTCCCTTCCATCCGAAGGAATGGCAGCGTATTGAGCGACAGCCTGTATGCACCTGTTCCTCGAACTTCGCAAGCGGCGGGTCGTCCTTGGTGCCGTCCGGCAGCGTAACGCCGTTATCGGCGATGAACTGGTGTAGCGTGCCTTGCAGGTCCTGCTTCCATAGATAATCGAACTTGGCAAACTGCGCCTTGAACTCCTCGCAGCGTGACTCGTTGGCTAGCGTTACCGTCATGACCTGCCGAGGGCATCGTTGAAGCACGACAGCGTTATGGCTTTGCGATCCTGGGCGTTTCCTTTTCCGGTCACCTCCTATTCCCACTCTCCTGAGCCCTAATCTTCGTGGATTCGCACTTAATCGTTTTTGTGCTGTGCTGGCCAACCGACATAGCCCTAGCCCCTGAGCACGCACAAGGAGGCCACAGGCCATTCAAGCCACCGAGTTCCCGGCCATGGACTTGCTGGCACACCTGGTTGAGCGAGTCGTACACCTCAAAGTCCTCCTCCAGCTCCTTCGCGTAGTTGCCCTCGCCGACGTCCAGACGCTTCATGAGCTGACCTATCTCCAGGAACGACTGCAACCACTTCTTGATCATGTCACGCACACCTGGCTTGGCGCCACCCTCGCCGAGCTCCGGCTTCCACACTATGTCGGGTGCCACAAGCTCCACCTGGATTTCCAGCAGCGGACTGCTCTCCGACTTCGCCAACGCCTCTGGGTCAATCTGTCAGGCAACACAGCAAGGCAGCATACACGTTAGATGACCGTACACAGGCCACCCAGCTTCGGCTGAAGCAGGACGGGAAACGAGCACTCCAACACAAGCTGACCGGTCCGGTCCACTCCAGCAAACCGAGCAGCACTCTAACACTGGAACGAGTGGTAACAAATAGTCCGCGTGTGCGTCCGCGTGCAAACTAAAACCTCTTTTCACATTTCCTATCTCGTCCGCAACTGCTCTACAAGATGGAAACATCCAGGCCAGGCGCGGTTTAAGGCAAGGCTGTCCTCCCCCATACATACCTGAGACAGCAGGTAGCGCACTGTGCTGATGATGGCCACCGAGAAGCCGTCGATGACAATATTGGAGAAGTAGTCCACGTACGCGCGCCATGAGGCCGCGCCCTTGCTGACCTTGAGCACGCGGTTGCTGGAGGAGAGCAGCTTAGTGATCTCCTTGCCCGCGTCGCGGATCTCCGAGTGGCGCTGCTGGATGAGCTGGTTGAACGCGTCATTCAGCTCGTCGAACGAGTACGTCTTGCCCTCCTTGCGCTCGAACATCAGGTTCTTCTCCCACTGCAGCAGAATGTTCTGCGTGGCGCGTACATTGTCCTTAATCGTATTGAGTACCAGGTCCACATCCTTGACCAGCTCCATGCACTCCTTAATGTACGCATCGATGCTCTCGTTCTTCCAGTTGAGCTCCGCCAGGCCACGGTTCAGCGCCTGCTCCACTGCGTCCAGCTTCTGCTGCACCAGCGGCTTCTCTACCGCCAGGATCGTGCGCTGCACCTTGTTATAGATGCTGCAAATGAGATCCAGGCTGCTGATCTGCTGGCGGAAAGTATCCGACGCAGCGAACAGGTCCTTGGCGCTGTCCGGCACCGATGCCATGGCGGCGGTTGCCTCTTTGGGCGTCGCGTCACCGGTGCTCGCGCCAACCTTCTCCGGAGCCGGGCCCATGGTCTCCAGCAACAGGAAATACTTGGTCTCGCGCAGCAACCGCACGAGTGCTGGGTCAAAGTTGACGCCCAGGACACGGATGCCTTCAGGCGTGGTCTCCACCAACTGCAGCAACGGCAGGTTAAGCTTCTCATCGCTCGTGGCAGCCACCTGAGCACACCATGCGTCCACGGCGCGCTTGCGATACTCAGTCATCTCGTCCCACAGGTGGTCGTACGTGCGCTGGATCTCCTTGAAGAGCTCGGTCTCCAGGACCATCTTGTTCATGGTCTGGATACGGTCCATGGGGTCCTTGATGCGCTCCATCAGGCCACGGACCCAGTAGGCGGCACCCGAATAGGGCGCGCTATTTTTGGCGACAATGGGGCGGTCCTTGTACTGGTGGAACAGGTCAGCAACGTCCTTGAGGTCGCGCGCGTAGCTGTGGAGCAGGTCCGTATGCTTTTTCTCCAGGTCGTGCGCAATGACCTCGCGGTCCAGCAGGCCCTCAAAGCTGTCCAGCAGCTTAAATGTTGTGCCGATTGTCGTGCAGTCATCGAAGGCCTACCCGATGGAGTGACGTAGACGACCCGGTGCCGTAACATCCGCAAAAGCCATGGTTCGGAGGTCGTGGGGGTGGGGATACGCGTTGCACAGCGGTGAGGAAAGCGTGGAAAGAACTGGGTTGCACAAAACGCGGCCTTACAGCCAACAAGTATCGCTGCGAACAAGAGCTGTGAGAATGCATATCGGCACTGATTGTTTCTTTTAGCTGTTCACTCGCTGTCAGGAAATTGTGCGCAGGCGATTAGATCACACACCGGGCCACAAGAGGCGGCATAGCGCAATTGCAAAGGCATGCCCGTCACGACGCCGCACCTGGATGATAATGGCCGCTAGGCGCCGCTCCAGCTCCTTGATGACCACACGGAAGCCGTAAAAGTCCTCGTCAAACTGCTTCGCATCCACGTCCATCACGTCGTAGGTTACCTGCAAGCCGAGAAGGGCATATGATATGATATTGCAGCGGCAAAGCCACTAAATACCAAAAAATGGAAGATCACGCAACAGTTAGACGTAGGTCAGCACCAGCTGCAAGCCCGTGGTCCCTTCACTTTTTCCCCCGTGAACAGAATGCTGCCGGGTAAGTACGCAGGAGCTACCACCTCTAACCGTCTCTGCTCCCACACGGTGCTCACGCAAGTCAAGCCGCGCCGTACCTGCTGGAACTTTTCGACCGCGGACGTGAAGTCCTGGTGGATGGCCTTGACGCCGTTGGTCAGCACCTTGCCTTTGGTCCCGCCAATTTCCACACGCTCCAGTCGGTTAAATTGCATGCACGTGGACATGAGGTCCATCATGTCATGGCAGCGCTCCAGGAACGAGTCGAGCCGTGCAAACAGCGAGTTGTTTTGGAACTTCCAGGGGTTGTCCGGAGTGTCCTGCAGGCTGAGAGCGCGGTACTCGAAGTAGTAGTTCTTGAAGGTGCCCAACACGCGCAGCGTCATGCGCAGCTTGTCAACCGCCTCGGAGGGTTCCATCTGAATCAGGTCGCTGCCCGGCACGAACTTGCATGCCTGGTGGACGGCAGGGAGTAGGGTGGAAAGAGATGCAGTCACAAGTGCAACGCCTGACGGTTGCGTTGGAGAGCAAGGCTCACACAAAATGGCAGCCACCAGCAAACTAGACCACAGCTGAACGGAGCCTAGTGAAGATCCGTCCTGTGCAAGACCTTAGGCCTTAGCTGCGTGCTCCTAGCAAGCCAAGGGCAGGTAAATCATTTACCTGGGGCATATGATATGCCCCTAGAGTTTCATCCTCTTGTGAAAGCCCTCTCGTTGCAGCCAACCTCTCAGCCCCAATCTTTTTGTTTATATGCGCCGCCACAAGCAGCATACGGCCATGCAAGCAACGCCCAGAGTTGCGGTCCCCATGCCTGCTACTAGCCCTGCATTTGGCAAGGCTTCCAGTATCACGCCACATCAATGGCCCCGAGAATGTGTCCATGTGGACCCATTTGGCAATTGTCGGCAAATAATCGCCAAATGGTAACGACCGACCATTACCCTCGCGACACCCCACCCCTTCAGCCTCCCGTCAGGAGCAGCCCCAACGTTCCCCACCTGCATGATGAGATCGTTGCAGATCTCTTGCATAAGCGTCACGAAGCGCGTGCTGCTGTTATACGACCTGCTGTATTTCCAGATCAGCATCAGGGTATGCATGATGGGCTTGAAGAGGTCCACGAGTTGCGAAAAGTCGTCCATGGTGTTGAGCCGCTCCAGGTATTTGCGAAGCGGCTTGAGGAACTTGACGTTATCATTGGCCTCTTGTCGCGACGCCTCCACCTCACGGAACAGCCTCTGGAACGCCGGGTAGTAGGTGCTCTTCGCAAGCTCCAGTACCTTGACCACCTTTTGCGTCTTTTCGCTGGTCAGCTGCTCATGAATAGAGTTAAGGTTTGCTGCGCGCTCCGACCAGAAGTTAAGCTCCGTAAGCGGGCCCGGATAAGCACCGGGCTCCTGTTTTCAAAAAGCGACAACCCGTGGGAAACAGTTCTATGCAAATTAATCCGCATGTTCATGCATCATGGCGAAGGCCAATGCATACAGTGTAAGCAGTGTGCGCCGCGTACCAACAGCTTTTGCATGGCCTCACATGCCGAGGCTTGCCCTAAGTGTTGAACTGCCGCAGCAAGTACAAGCCGTTTCCAAGTTAGCGACATCATCCTGGTGTCTGGCCGCAGTCTGACTACGCCAAGGGCTATGTGGGAATGCCTGAAATTGCTGAAATGGTATCCGGTCGTCAACACGCCGCCAGGGAATCCGTAAAACTACCTGGGCGCCCCGTGGAAAGCCCTAAAACCCCTTTGCATCCTCATGCCATGGCTAAACAAAATCCGGTTTAGTAGCACGTTGTCCCCTCAGTAAGGACACGCCTAGCACGTGCATGGGCACTTCCCGTCCTGCAATACGTCGTCATCCAACTGCGCTCATCACATCCCTAGCTATCTTACTTGGCCCCCCGTGCCGTGGCACAAAAGGTGGAACCCCCGTTTCCCTTAGGCGTGGCAGGACAGGTGGCACAGCCCGGCGGCTGAAAGCCCGGACACCTGTCGACAGCGCACCTTGAGCGGGGCGTCCGGGTCCGACTTCAGTACATTCTTTATCTGCTTCGTCCATGTGACGATCGCGCTCTCGAGAATGTGGATCTTATCTTGATCCTTCAGGCTGTTCATGTGCTGTTCCGGATGAATGGTCGGCACCGTTGTTTGAGGAGGCAAAGGTAGGAGGGTCTGCCCCTTCATCTGCCCAATGGTGACAAACACTGCACGCCAGGTAACATGGAACCGCACGGTTATTCCAGAGCGCATAAAGCCTTCTACGTAATGGCTGCCTTTTTACGTATGTGTGCATAAACCCCAAGCCTGTCACGAGTGTGGCCCATTACGCACCATTCGACACGAATTTGTGCAGGTTTTCCGTAACCTCCTTCGCCACGACGTCGGGCCAACCCTGCTGGTTTGCAGGCCCCGTGAGCACAGGCATGAACACATCCTGCGAGATGGATGCCAGGGTCTCCAGCGGGTTCTCCGATATCTCGCCGTGAATGACCTGCAAATGGTGCATCCAGCGGCATGCCAGAGCTGAGAGGGGGGTGTCGGGATTTCGGGCCTCGCAAACACACCCACCAGCTTTCTAATTCCATCATTATCAAGCTTTATGTCCTGAAGCTTCAAGAAGTACACCGTTTTCTTCTTGAATTTCTGCGGTGGCTTGATTGTCTGCGTGGCAAGGAGAAACTTCAGACCATGTTATAACTCGGCTCATGTGCAGCTCGCCTCACCGCGCTCAAGTCCTTGCCATCATGAGAAAACAAGAGCCTCCTTGTATTAGCTTCTTCGAGGAATTGTGTAACGGGCGTCCTGCAAGGGAATCCTTGGTGTTTCAGCATTACACTTGGATGCTTTCATTGTGCTTTCATTGTGCTAATTGTTACGCACCTTCCATCTCCGTTAAGAAGCTTTTCGAAAGCCGTTTCATTAATTTTCAGGCACGAGCACACACGGTCCCGAATATAATCATAGCGAATGTCTTTGGTAGGGGCCGCTGGCACCACCGTCGTTGCCTGCTCCTCCTCAGCCATGACTACTTACTTCCCTGCAGGTAAGTCGTTCGAGCCTAAAATGTGGTCAACAACATTGTAAGGACGAAATCCGATGAGACCTCCTATCTAGGTGCTATAACCCTTTCTTCTAATAAGTTAAATTAACTTTGTAATCACTGGGGTGAGCAAGGTTTGAGGCAGCCAGCTTTGCCCAATAGCTCAAAGGATGTACGGGACGAGTGAGAAACGGCACGGCATGTGCGGGGCCCTTCAAACATTCCTACAAAATGCAATAGCCGACTAGATTAGGTTACAGCTTGTGGCATTAATCGTATGCGCAGAGAACCATGCCTCACGGTGTTGGGCCGCGGCCTCCAACCATGCAATTCGGTCTAGCTGATCTGTCTTCATTTTTAGTAAAAGAAGTACAAGATAGCTTGGGAAGAGCCTCTCCATCTTGGCTGCTGTTTGTGACTTCCTTTCGGGGTCAGTTAAAATGGCAGCACCTCGAAGCTGGATGCTGATGTCGTTTTGTAAGCTTGAGAAATGTCCTAAGGTTTGGCCAACCCCCCTCACTCTTCCCCCCCGTTGCCCTGGCGAAAGTTTGCGCGTATCAAAGTTGCTGTGTCGGAATTCTCGGCTTGCAACGGGGTGCCGTACGGGCTCTCCCCGGCACGCAGCTGCATTGGAAATCCTTCAGTTAAGTACAGTAATCGGAAGTACAAGATTTCTCAAACCGCATGCGGATTAGCGAGGTGCAGCCCCCGGTGGCCTAGCGGCTGTCCCCACCGGAAGCAATATTTTAACCACTATCTAGCACCGGTGTGGGAGTTCCGTCGCTAACTGGCGGTTGGTTTGACTAGCGGCCAGTGAAGTGCACATGTCCTGTCCGGCACTGACACGCCACAACCACAAAGACGCAGTTGTAACGGCAAACTAAGCTATATTCCGGCCTGTCGTTTGACGATTTCTCCGTATCCTTGTGTCTCTAACGCTGGCAAGTCTGGCGGGGTTTGCTGCTCTCCGGTTGTCATGGCCAAATTCGCCAAAAATGACAACTTGGTTCAGCCAGGTTATGCGCGCAATAGTCTGTGGTTAACCAGAACTGGAAACCTGTGCAAAGGGCCCGGTGGCATCCACTGAGGGCCTGCTTTGGCACCTGTTTGGCAATGAAAGGAGCGATTGCTAGGAGCAGGGAAATTAAATCGAGTGTGAACCCGAAGGGTTTCATTTAGATCGAGGCCCTCCTCCAATCACAGATAACAAGGTATGGCTTTGCCATGGTTCCTGTACCTGACAGGTAGATGGCATTTGCAGGGATACAGTACATAGCGTCGTTGTGCATTTCATTAATTTATCGTTTCCTGGCAGAGGTCACGAGTTGGGTTGAGCACTGCTATGGAAAGGTCCCGGACCCTTAGGGACCCGATACCATACGGCATCCCGGGACCCATACATTTCATTGCAGGTTATAACGATGCAAATGTTGCAACTATATACTTTTAAATTCGTTAACTCTAAACTGGTAAGCAGAGACCGGAGGTAAGCAGAGTCTCACGCCACTAGCTTGCATTCAACTTCTTCAAAACCGTGAGATCAAAGGAGGTCCAATATATATTGGATATATCAGGAGCAATGATATGGTCGTGTGTCTTAACTACTTGATTGACGCTACTTGCACCCATGCTGAACGAGTCGATGTGATTCCTGTCAGCGGAGCAAACGTAATGGAAATTATAAAGTGAACCTGCAAATCCGTGAAAACAGAGAAGCGGCCCGAACCCGGCCCCAACCCGGCTCCCACGGCCTAAGGCTCCGTACATTGAAGAAACGCAGCTACACCTTGCACCCCTCAACGGCCTGATGCCATACAACAAGAGGCTACAGCAGCTGGTTCGGCGCCTCGCAGCCAAGCATCGGTAGTGCTATCCTTCTGGAGCTGTATGGCTGGCCCCACCCACTAATCACCTCTTGTGCTCTGTACGGCGGACGCAACCCAGCCTTGCGCCCCTCACATGCCTGATGCCGAAGACATTTAAGAAGAGACTGCAGCTGGACCTGTGCTGAAATCGTGGTCCCTGTCCTGTGGCCGGCTGTTTTCACCCAGAGTTGAATTGACGCAGGGTCCATTCCGATTGTGTTTATTGTGTTGTCTTTGGAATGCGCACATGGGCTTCATATAGATTCACTACCATAGTTGCGGTCTAGGTTGTCCCTTCATCCAGTTGGGGCTTGTCGTGGGGTTTTCAGGCTGGGCTGTCAGGCTGGGCTGTCAGGCTGGGCTGTCAGGCTGGGCTGTCAGGCTGGGCTGTCAGGCTGCAGTCTTGCATGTGGTGTGCATGCAGATGATCTTTCTACCGTCTATGTCAGCACGGTGCAACGGTGCTTTGGAGTATCACAGCCGCAGGATGAATTAAAGCATAAGCAAATTTCAAGAGTTCAAAACCATACACCCAGGTCCTTTGAACCTACAGTACGACTGCAAGCGACGACCAATCCGATTTGTCGCGCCACATGAGAAACCCTAAGTTAACAGATCTGAACTAGTTTGTAGCTACGGTTATCACGGTACAGGGCTCAACACATGCATGGTAGCCCCGAGAAAAAACATTATCAGGGGTACCTGTGTGACGTGTACAGCCCCACACCCACAAGGTCCTCATACTCCAAGGCCGTTGACACCGTTGACACCGCTGCCAAGCTGCTGGGCTGGCTGCATCCCTCCGCCCTGCTGAACTGTAATCCGCTTGCCCCGTGACCACCGTCAAGGTTGATGGTGGAAGGGACGGCGGCGCCATAGCCGTCGACGCCGTTGACGCTGCTGCCAAGCTGCTGGGCTGGCTGTGCCCCCCGCCCCTGCTGAACTGTAGCCCGCTTGCCCCGTGACCAGCGTCAAGGTTGATGGTGGAACGGACGGCGGTGCCATAGCCGTTGACGCCACTGCCAAGCTGCTGGGCTGGCTGCGCCCCCCCCCTGCTGAACTGTAGCCCGCTTGCCCCGTGACCACCGTCAAGGTTGATGGTGGAACGGAGGGGGGTGCCATAGCCGTTGACGCTGTTGACGCTGCTGCCAAGCTGCTGGGCTGGCTGTGCCCCCCGCCCCTGCTGAACTGTAGCCCGCTTGCCCCGTGACCACCGTCAAGGTTGATGGTGGAACGGACGGTGGTGCCATAGCCGTTGACGCTGCTGCCAAGCTGTGGGCTGGCTGG